ACAGAACTCTCCGCAGCAAAAGTCGCCGAACTGCGGAAGGGCCATCAGCGGCGGAGGAAAAAAGTACAAGAAAAATTTGAACGGCCAACAACGAGGTCCAAGCAGGATCACGACAGAAGTTTCCCGGTTCCGCCAAGACCAGCTGCCTTCAAACGGCCAAGACCACAAGGCAGAGGACAAAGGAAGATGTTTCAAGGGTGGCCGAACTGGTGAAAAACGGAAGCTTCCAGAGGAAAGCACTGAAGGGCGAGCCCGTACAAGAAGGAGGATCAAATCAAGCTACTATCTGCTATACCTTTAAAGACTGGGCCCAGAAAAGGAATGTCCGAATATTACAAAAAGATAAGTAAAATTTTATGTTACTTTGCAAACTTAAGTTAATCTTTCATTCTTACTGCAAGTGGCAGATTTCAAGAAGTTTTACCTCATGCGAGGTCTACCTTTATCGCCAAAAGGGCGAGAAATGAGTTGTGACCGATTTTCTTATTATGTTTTTTCAATTACTCGCGCGTAAAACTAAAGTTGATGTATAATAGCGTTGTGTAAAGACTTAAATATTGTAAAAAGTTATTGTATAAATTTTATTTAAAACATTCTAGGCAAGAAAGAAGTTTTAGTCTGAAAGACTTTTTGAAATGTAGTATTATTTCAATGTAGAAAGAATTGGCACTTGCTTTGAAAAGAATAGAAGTTAACAATGTACTACTAATGTATGTTTTCAAATGTGTAAAATTAACGGCATGTTGATATGTTCTTATATACATGTGAACTGTTATTTTGAAATGTTAAGAAATACCGTGATATGGTAAAAGTGAAAGTAATGTTAAAAATTTGTTATTCGTGTGACTGTAAAGATTAAAATCATGGTGAATATGTGTTAAAGGTTGAATGATGTAGTTAGGCTCTCTGACGCTACACTTTAGAGTTAGCCACTTTCAGAATAGTACCTCAGGGTTTAGAGTTGAAAGTAGGGTGTGTTAAGAGGTCTCGTATGTTGAATTTTAACACGTTAGTGTTTTGATTGTAGGAGGAAGTGTGGAACACGTAGACAGAAACACATACGTGTTTGGTGTTCTTTTACAACACATGTCAGAGAGCACGGGGAGAGATAATTAAAATAGTCATGAATGAAATAAGAATGTTAAGAGAAGTATATTCTATATGTTATTTGCAATGTTCATTCTGTAACATTTCATTAAACTAGTTTTCCTTCCAGATCTCTGGAAGGAACCAGAATTGAATAAAAGCTCCTGTTTTGATGCAGTACAGATGAAAAAGAAAAAGATTGTTGTATATTCCGGGAGCTGCTATTGTAACAAATTTCTTTCTTTTAAATTTTCTAGTTTCTAGCTAAGTTATGATTTGTAAAAGTTGGCCTCGCGTTAGATTCTAGAGCTAAAAGTTTTCAACAAGGTCGTTTTAGACCTCAGTTTCAAACTAATTAACTCTGGCGGGAAGTATGTAAGGATCTTAAGTTTTACTAACGTTTATTTTATTTTAAATCTTTACTATCACTTCTTATTTTCTACTTCCGGCCAGAATTATAAGCGTGAAGGAGTTTATGCAAAGTTTGTCTGGCGAACGCCAAGTATTTAAGTGTGGCCTTTTTGCCAAGCGAGAGAGAGGAAGCAGTGAGTTCGAAGCAGGCCGCTTACCTTAGAAGTTTACGCAGTTGCTGGATTTGCCTTCCAGGCCAGAGGTTTAATCCTCTTGATAAATTTAAACGTATTGTAGTGTTCACAGTCTCTGTGCTACATACGCTTCCTGTTATTATAAGGCCAATCTTATTCTAAAGTTAAATTAGAGTTTAGTTTTATTTTTATACCTTTTACGTTAGACCCCGAGTGGAGGGTCATTGTATTCCGAAGTACGGAAGTCATTGTATATAAAGAAAAATAAAGGGTTTGTATACCCTTCGTCTGTATCCTGTCTACTTACTACAATTAGTGAACATAGCTTTAGTAAGCTCTCTGTTCCTAGTCAGGTCATTGTATGTTTCCGAAGAAGGTTAGAAGAAACATTGAACCTGATAACATAACAAATGGAAATCATTTAAGCTGTCTTGGACTCGTTAAGAAGCTTAATATTTGTGTTCCACTCAAATTGAAAGAAATTCGCTTAACACAACAAATCAAAATTTGTGATACCCATTTCAAATGTAATGCAGTCAACTTTTTTTTTAAACGAATTATCACTGTGTATGAAAAAGAGATCATGTACAATAACATTAATTGAAAAAAATCATGATCCAAGCATGATAAATCAACATAAATCATATCGAAAGCTAAATTGCATCAGAAAAGTTGTTGTGTATTTTGAGCTGCTTCCAAGCAACCAAATCATCAACTCTGGTGTTTCCTGCCAGCAAGTTATGAAAATAGAGGAAAGCAGTCAAATAGAAAAGCCCAGAATTGGCAAATTGCAAAGAAATGGTGTTCCACCATCACAATGCGAGGCCTCGTACAGCTTTAACAACATGTACAAATTTATTGAATCTTGGTTGGGATGTGATGTCACTTCCCCCCCTATATCCCTGATCTTGTACCGTCGGATTATTATTTATTTAAAAAAAAACTTCTTAAATGTTAAAAATTTCACTAATAAGAATGACCTCAAATCACACTTGGTTCTGTTTTTTGTTAATAAAGACATCAAGTTCTTTGAGCAGGAAATCATGAAGCTACCAGAAAGATGGCAAAAGATCATTGAACAGAATGAAAGATATTTGACTGATTAAAATTAATTTTTTGTGTAGAAAAAACACTGAGTTTCATGAGTTAAACTGAGTTCATACTAAAAAGCCAAAATTACTTTCTTACCAACTTGATGTTGTGATAATATGTTCAGCAAATAACAGCAGAAAAAATTGTTTTTTAATTTCAAAAGTGAATGAAATTCATTTTTTTCCGGTGAATTCAGGTGAAGCATGATTTGCACTTTAATGTCTCAGGCAAAAGCATCAAAACTCTAAGTAGGCAAAAAGACATATCTTAAGCAGTCCAGTTCTTAAAGGCATTGTACTGTGCTATGCAGCAGGTTCTTTGCTGTTTTACGATTTTTGTGTTTCACTAATAATGATAAATCAAACAAAGATTATAATATGAAAAGATCAAATATTTTAAATTAATCTCGTCCAGTTGTGTTATTGTTCATGTCAGAAATTATGAAAATTTAGTAAATTATGTTTGAGATCAGAAAAATTTCATTTAAAATTTTTTCCCTGCTTTAAAATAAAAATGGGTACTTTTTGATTATCTTCACTCTGGTTTGAATATTTAGTAGAATCTCTACATGTTTTAGTTTCAGTATATATGTGACTATGTTTGCACATGTGCATACTATTTGTATGTTTGAGTAAATAGTGATTTACATGCTTTATGTACAACCATCAGTTCATTGATTATTTTTTAATATTTCAAATAGACTTTTCTCATCATAAAATTTCTTATTTTTTTAAAAAAATGCTTCTTTTTATTATTATTTATGAATAGAACAATACCTATGAATGATAAAAGTAATCAAATGAATGTTTTTTGCCAACTTACAAAATTGGCGATGAATTACAGATTATTAGTAGGGTGAAGATAATCAGAAAGTACCTAAAAATTGAATAAATTATTTTAACTCGCTGACATCTGAGAGCACCTGACATCTGTGATCTGCACATGTTCTGCATCATCCTCTGTATATATAATCATCCTAGAATATTTTTTGTAATGTCTTTAAGAAAGCATATATGCATGGATATTGAAATATGTCCAACAAACTAAAGCAGTATTAAAAGTACATAAATAGAGATGTAAAATTCCAGGGGAGTGTTGTATTAAAATAAAAAAATACTTCTTTCTTGTGGCAGTTTTGAAAAATTTAGAGTTTTGTAGCAAAGTCCTTAGCTGGTTACCAGAGGGTTAAATTGTATACCAAACTTGATTATTGGTGTACTAAATTTTGTAACTAAAGGCATCTCTGTCTTTGTGCAGAGCAGTATGCATACATACCATACGCACCCACACACATATAATATCGCATGTACATTCACACTTTCCTTCAATCCATGATATAATTGTTCAACTAGAGACAGTAGTTGTCTGTAGTACATGTGGCATCCTCTTTACCCATAAATTTAAAACTTTGAAATAAAATTCAGAAAGCCTTTTTTGCAAACTCTGTGCTGTATTTTTACTAATTTTTATAGCACATCTTTTATACATTTAAATAAATATATTCAGACTATTAATGTAAATTTAAATAACTAACTTAAAATGAATGGGCATTTATAATGTGGCAGCAGAATTAAAACCAAAGTAATATAATCTTTTGATCATTGGTATTATGATCTTGAAATATTTCAGCACCACATGTCACTGTATTAGTCTTTCTTACCATTAGAATTTTCTTATTTTTATTTAATTATTTTTTACTGGAATCAGCTATTTTACACACAGACACACGTACATTTATATAGCTTTTGTGTGTTTAATTTTGATATCAATTTTGAACTTATTACTGTTCTGTGTTTTGAAATTTACTGAGACTAAGTATAAGCAAAAAGTTTTCTGAAAAAATGTATGCATGATTTAGAAACATTAATGGTACTCTTCTGTTATTAAGACTGGATTCAGAAATGTATGTATGCATGTGTGTATGAATGTATGTGTTCATATATGCATGTATGTATATACACACACATACGCACATACATCCATATACACATGCATGCATGCATACATTTCTGAATCCGGTCCTGATACAGAAGAGTACCAAAACTGTAATAGTTTACTTTGTAGCTTTAAAATTGTCCAGATCTTTATATCTTGATAATGTATAGTGTAAGTGATATTTTTGCATGTACTTTGTGGTTTATGTTCATATTAATAATTTCACTGAAATTTTAATGATATGTTTAACATGTTTTATGTTTCTAATTTTCTTTTGATTAAAAGGTATTTATGCTGTAAAGTATGCCATGCATTTGTTGTATAATTTTATTTTTCTTTCAGGACAAAAAAACTCACTCAAGATTTAACTGCTAATAAAATAGGGAGTGATCCAACATTTCTGAATAAGCTAACTAAAAATATATTTGCACGATATCTTGAAAATTATATTCATATTGAAATTCGCTGCTTGAAGGATAAATGTGAAAATACATTGAATATGTATTATAACTCCAAAAATCATCAAAAGAAACAGATACATTTTGGAGGGTATGTAGTTTTGATTGAATGCTATATTGTATAACATGCAAAATATTTTAATATCCTTTATTTTTATTTATTGAATACAGTAGAATTCCAGAAATCTGCAAAGCGTGGGACCAGAGGTTGCGCTGATTTTAGGATTTTGCGGACAGAAAAGATATAAATTGATTATATTATTCATTGTATTATATATACACAGCATCAAGATTTGCCGATTTCGCCTCATGCAAAGATTTCTGGTTTCGTATTCTGGTGTTAGAATCACTGTTGCTGTAAAATTTCAACAGTTTTTCTTTATTTTTCCATATATCATACACAATTGTATCGCAATTCCATACGATTCTGTTATAAACCGAGGAGTAGCACCTGTCTCCATCTTTTGCAGAATTTGCACTTTTTGCATTACCATCAATGCAATGTGTTTACGTTTTTCAACGTTGCAAGCAGTAAAATCATGAGTCCGTTTCTAATCTGTTATTGTATTAAAAAGGGTTGAAATTAAAAATATTCTTAATTTATCCACAAAATATCCGGATAAAAGAAAAAGGCAGCACTAAATAATCTTGTGAAATAACAAAGCTCAGAAACTACAACAACGTGAATCGTGAACATGAAAGAAGAGTTGAATCGTCTGCTTTCTTACCTCAATGCAGATTAGAGGAGAAAAAAACTATTATTATGATGTCAATAATTTGGTATTTCCATTATGATTCATTATTATTCGGTAATTATGACACCATTATTCGATAAGTATTTTTTCTTTGATATTTCGTACTTAATGTTGTGGGTTCCAGAACCTATAAACTGATTGTTTTTATTTTGAGAGGCAGGCAACATGGATTTCAGGAGTGGGTGGATTTCAGGTTGGCGGATTTTCGGTCTTTGACTGTACTGAAAAATGAATGTACAGATTATATATTCAGCATTGATTTCATAGTCTGCATTAAAAATGGTAATAATTATTGAACTTCCTGTGTGAGTTGATTTATTAAATTCATACATAGTTCTAACACAGCATTTGAAAAAATTCACAAATTCATCTTTGTAACATGAAATTTACGAATTAAAAAAAAAAAAAAAAAGAAGTTAAACTCTCTTTTCATAATGAGAAAGATTTATTTTTCATGCATTCGTATATAAACTAAGTGAAACTTTTAAGTTCTCAAACTCTGCAAATTAAATTTTTCTGAAATATTTATTTTGTAGTTTTGCTTCTGTCATTAAGCTTTATTTTAATGTAGATGACAGTACATAGAAAGAAAATGAAAGTGAAATTCTGTAACAGAGGTAGCACCAGCAGCTGAGTGGTAAAGTTGCTGAACACTGGTAGTTCGGTCTGAGGTTCAAATCTTTGCAAATGGCCCAATTGTAATGGTGGTGTCTTGAATAAATAAGAAAAGAGGGAAAAAAAAAAAAAAGATTCTCATGCTTCTTTCAGATTTTTTATCTACCTTGTTATAATTCTGTCATATAATGCAAAATTTATTAACTGGTATTTATTAACCAGCATCATGTTTTACATAAGACTTTTATATACATAACGGGATATCACATATCTTTCTGCTTTCATTATTTTGATTGAAAATATGAAGCATATTTTATCATAAAAGAAAATTATGATTTTTTGTAAGTGGCTGTAAATTAAAAAAATTTAGGATTATCTCTATTTATTATTACCTATTAACCCTTTCCGGAACGCTACCTTTTAAAGTTGGAATTTCAGTTTAAAAAAAGGTTAGGCAGTCTAATTAGGCCTAGAGGAGTACACTAGTAAAGTTTTGTGAAGATAGCACTTATTGTTTTTATTCTGTGAGTGTGCCTGAAGCGGGCACACTCATTGAATAGAGCTTCGAAAAGAATGCTGCAACAAGCATTGCTGGGAGGCGCCTAAAAGAGTAAGAGATTTTGCATACAATTAAAAAACACTAAATTCTGAATACCATAGCATATTTAGTATTACCCAGGGTGTGCTACGGGGAGACAGATCTGCTACTCTACACCCCCCTAAAAAACTCTTTTTTGGTTATAAGATGATTACATGCGTATGAATGGAAAAAAATTTTATGGGTATGATATTTACATATCATATTTACTCTTTTTTCTATTTTTTTCATGGTGGTACATTTCAGAGAAAAGGACGCCACTTTTGAAAAAGCACAACCCAATATTGCATGTTTTGCACATGTACCGGGATCCATATAAGATTCACTATCTGAAAGCAATTCTTATAGCACTTTCAGTGCTTCAGAAAGAGTCAACCCTCTTCTATCTGTTTGGAAAATAATTAAAAATAAAAAAAAAAAAAAAAAAAAAAAACTTATATTATATCTACAATTAGAAATTATAAAGTATAAAATAAAATTTTATAAACTTCTACAACTCAAAACTATTAAACATAGCGCTGGGGAAACTCTGAACGAAAGTGAAAGAGAACTGCTCTAGTGGAAAACCAAACAGCTAACTGATAAAATTACCTTAACAATTTGACCTTCAGAAAATCACCCCAACAATTTGTTAGTTGATAATCAACCCCCCCCCAAAAAAAAATAAGAGAGAGAGAGAGAAAAGAACAAAGAGAAAAACAGGAAATGAAACACAGATGTAGACCCACCTTTCTCTTGATAATGAACTGACCGATGAGATGTGCAGAAACAAAGAATACAGACTCTCAGTTGTCCTAGATTGTTGGTGAGCCCGGTCTGGGGACACCTGGGGTTCGCTGTTCGATTTTAGCCAAGATTTTAAGGTAAAAATTCAAAAACTAATATAGAATAAGGAGATTAGCATACAGCCCAAAAATAACATAGAAATTTCTTTTCAAACACTTCCTTTTATACCCTAAAAAAATCTGGAAGTGTTCTTTGAAAAATGAGGGTCTTAAAAAACTAAACATGGCTAAAATATATGGACAGGTTTGCGTTTAGCTGCCATCTACTGTAAATAAAGAAGGTTCAGTGTAACCTATAAATCCTTTTTCATTCAATTTTCCTGTGCGTACAGAAGGAAATTTTTAGGTGTGCCCAAACGGTTAAAAATTTATTATTTATTAAAAAATTATTTTCCAAAACTATAATTTTATTTATGGGTTTGGAGGACCCAGTCATACAATCAGCACATGAATTGTCACTGTAGCAGCAAAAAGTAAATTTCTCAGTGATATGTATATAAACATATTTTTACTTTGCATTAGAAAATTGCTAAGTGAAGTAATAATTAAGAATTTGACGAAACGGAAAGGGAAGTTGAATAAAATTCCATTAGTTACAAAGGTGATCAGACACAGGTTCCTCTTCTTCAGGGGCAAAATAAATTTTGCGAAATGAAATGGGTGACAATGAAGCAGTGGTGGAGAAGAGCAAACCTGAAGTGAACACACTATTTTCCGTGACAGATAGCGCTGTTTTTATGTTCACTTTGCTTTGCTTAGTGCTTTGATACAAATGCAATAAATGCTCAATCCATTTTGCAGAATTTTTTGGCTTTTGAAGAAGAAGAATCTGTGTCCGATTACCCGTAAAATAGATAAAATTTTATTCAAAATCTATGCCAATAAACTATGCCAAAATATGCTGTTTTACCTAAATTTTATGTGGACATGTTTATCTTCCAGTTTGTATTTCTCTGAAGTGCATAATATTCAACTTATTAAAAGCAAAAATTAAATAAATTTAACTAAAAGTCAGATGACAAAAGTCTTGCTTATTTAGGATATCTGTAGGGAAAAGTACAAAGGATATATTAGCAGAAGTACACAAAATCTGTTTCAAATTTAAGTATCATTTTTCATAAATAACATTCTTAAAAATACATTTAAAATTTTGAAAAATTGTAATAAAATTGAAAAAGGTCCAATTTAGTGTCAGATTTTGAAAATAAATTTGATGTTTTTAAAATTAAAATAATTAAAATATTAAGCAAATAAAATCAGTTTATTAAATTTCATTAAAAATAAATTTATCAGAAAAATTAATTCAAGGGAAAAGAACCTAATAGTGCAAAATGGAATGATGCTCAGGTTTTGCAATGCTATCACTTTTGGTCATATGTCAATTTTGAAATCAGAGGCAAATATTTTTAATATTTAAATTTAAATAAATCTCTGAAGTTTTTGAATAAAAATATCCAATTTGTGCCAAAAAAAAAAGTATTTATTTTTAAATGGTGAGGTCAGCAAATTTTTATTAGTCATAATTAAAAAAAAGTTTTAGAAAAATTTATGAAGGTCTTTAAAAATAAATAAAAAAATATCTGATGTGAACACCTATTAAATTATGCTCATTTTTTGCTGCACTTCATTTAAATTTATTTCATTAGAGATATATTTCTAATTAAATTAATTCAGTTCTAAATTCACCACAAGGCAAAGATACATAAAAACTCAAAACATCTTCATTAAAAATTGTAAAATACAGAAAAACATGAAATACTAAATACAGCTAAAAAACGATTTTTACAATTAAAATTAGAGTTTCTATGCAAAAACAAGCACTTTGGCCTGTGGGCAGTACGATAGATTTTTTAGTGCACGAAATTTAAAGTTTACTTTTGGTCAAAAAAGCCAACAGCCTTTTAGCCTGTCAGCAAAAAGACACTGAAGTTGGTGCACAAACTAGCTTAATTATTAAGTATTCTTCTAAGTTTCAAATGTAAACAAATGGTATCCTCATTAGGCTGAGCAACACAACATGTACGAAAAAATGAAAAACTGAGCTAACTGAATAACAAAATGGGTTAGTTAGTTAGAATCTGGGTGCAGCCTGACCTGCCTAGTGAATGTGAATTCACTTTATAGCCAAAACTGGGCTCACCTGAGGTAACAGAGTACACATATATGTATATATGTTTGGCCGATTCTAAAGGGTGATGCACAACTACATGTTATAGCAGTCCTATATAAAACATTTCAACGTTCTAAGGCAACTCGTTTTTGAGTTATTTGAGATAAATATGTATATATGTACATACAGATGTGACTAAAAATCTCTCTTCTAAATCCATTTTAAAACCCGTTTTGGAAAAAAGGGTTCTTTAATTTATTCATAGGTACAGATGTCATGAAAAGCATCATTTAAATTGATTTGAGAGTGTTTAAAATGGATATTTTTGGTTGAAATGTGATAACCGAAATTTTTCACAATTATAATACTTCCTTTATTTCGAAGAAAAAGTTTTAAAATTTTTAATGGAGCTCCCCCTAAAAAAAAATAAAATAAATAAAAAATAAATAATAATATTAAAAAATACTGAATAATTTTACTTGGATTAAACCTAAATTTCAGTTTAGGAAAGAAAAAATAAAAAAGTTAAATAAATAAAGAAAGAACGATATATCAAAATCGATACTAAATTCAGTTAAATTGTTGAGCTAGAATTTTAAGTGCTGATTAAAAAAGAACTGCTTGTTTTTTTTTTTTTTTTTTTTTTTACGTTTATTTCTTTATTATTTTGCTTGTTTGACTTTAAGATAATTTATGGTAGAGAACCAAAATATGGAACAAAGTCAGCTTGTCATTTTAAAAAAGGATCCAGTTTTGTGTCAAAATGCATATGTGTTAGAGCAAAGTTATACATAAATCTAATATGTATCCTAATTCCAACTTTCAAGGCCAGGAAAAACACAATAGAATTTCATCAGTAGGCCAACTAAAAGGGAGATATAGATTTGTCCCTCCCTTTTTTTTGTATACTCGCTGTACATGATTTTGCTTGATGAATTTCCAGATCCTTTTTTTCATAGAAATGAGAAGTATCTTTTATGAACTCCTACTAATCCTTCAAAAGTTAACAAAGTAAAGGAATGTTTCCAAAAATCTGTATTCTTTTCACCAGTTGGAAAATCTCAATGTTCTTATTTATGTAAACTCTCTAGTAGTTCTTATCTAATAAAAAGATCAGATTCTGATACACCTGTTTCCCCCAGAATTCTTGTTCCCGGTCTCACATTCTCCCCCCCCCAAAAAAAAACTATCGCTTCTATTATCTTATTTTCATTTAGCAAAATGATTTGTATGTGTGTAGTTCCTAAGCTGCCTAAACCTTAATTAGTTGCTAGTCTAACATTCATCCCTATACTGCCATTTATATCCTCACATTAAGCAAATGCTGTTCCTTGTAAATCTGATTTTTCAGATTCATGCTAATCACTGTTACATATCTTGTTAAAATAAAATTTGTTTTCTGTCATTCAAGCTGTTCAAAGATATTTTTAAAACGTAATTTTCATTTTTTCCCACATTATTTTTGTTGATAATATGCTTACTTGATATGATAAAGAAATAGAAATTTTGTAAAATCTTGTAGCAGAAACTGAAACTGATGAATTTTGTTATTTCAAGGAAAGGAATTTAATGATCATATAAACTGAACAATTTACTGTACAACTACTGAATTACAATGCAGATGCTGTAGATAGTCTAGCATCAGAAAATAGTAAAATACTAGTGTTTATTATAAAAAAACTTTTTATATAAAAAAATCCAGTGGCATAGCTAGCTTCTTTGGTTTACTCGGGGAATGAATATTTATCCACTGTTTGGATTGCTGTTTAGTTTCTTCAGTTTTGAAAAGGATCATGTCTCTTTCCCCATGTGACAGTTTTATTCAAAAAATCTTCTTCTTCATTGTGGTAACACTGTAAAAATGTTAAGGCAGCGCCAATTTGCTGTGTTCTGTGATGGTTGGACAACATCTTTAGAAACCGTCTTCCACAGAGTTTATAATACTGGAGTCTTCATTCACAATGATATAGAGAGCTGACCATGAAATTTCAATAAACAAAACACTGAATAAAAAAATTGTAAACCAACGATTTTCCTCAAATCGCCTGATCCACTCACTGAACAAGATCATCGGTTGACACTCGCTTCCTTCCCTGCCCACCTGCATCATGAACATCTATACGTCGTGCTTCAAAGTTGCTCCACTTTGCTGTCACTCATGGAAGTTTTTCCATACACATTACTCATTTGTCGATGAATTTAGCTGTATTGCACCTCTCAGCATGTAGAAATCGAATGACAACATGCACTTCGCACTTGGCAGGGAGACTATTGTTCAAGGAATGTTTATGTGCTCACTACATGCTCACATCTGACAACAGGCATATTAGAGATACTGCATGACACATATGTGCACAGCATCATTGGATTTTCGTGGGAGTTTTCATTTCTTGACTGACTGGATCTTGGGGGGGGGGGAGTAGTAGCCCCCATAAGGGCCTAAAAGGCAGTCACAGAAATAGAGTAATTAGCTTTTTCGAAAGTTCTGTGGTAAAGAGATATATTTAATGCTTAAATTTTTAGATGTAGAAAAGAAGCTTTTTTTTTTTTTTTTTTTTTTTTTTTTTTTTTGTGAAAGAGATGAAAAAAACTTATATTAAAATATATTCTCTTGCAGGACTTTTACATATATGTGATTTGGAAATATTTTCCCATCAGTGTCAGAGAATTTAATGAAAAGTATTTTTTAAATATATGTAGTATTAATTTATTGTAAATTTTTTTTCAGAATACATGAATTGCGCCGTGATATTCAAGCGAGAATTGGGTCCAGGACTAATATCATAAGTTCTATTGTAGATAATTATGGTGGAGAAACTTTCTTATCAGAGGATGTTGCTATGAATATTTTACTAGATTGTAAAAAGGCTTTTAACAGATGCCAGTTGGTAAGCATAGGTTTTAAAATGCCCTTCTTATGATGGAAATGTTTATGCTTCTGAATGTAAAGTAATTATGGTAATTTTGTTCATTTAAGAAAATGGAATTTATTTCCAATAATATTTCATAATGAAAATAACTTTTAAATTATAGCATCATTAATATTTTAGCATCATTTGGTGTTGCCAGGTATATTTTGATATGATGTGCTTTCTCATCATTTAACTAATCTCATTTATTAATTCTGTGCTCCTCCCCCAAAAACTCCCGTTTGTTAATGCCCCTCCTATTTTTAACTGGAAATTGATAGTTTCTTCCTTAGATTATAGTGAATCTTAACTATTCATATTTTCTTCACAAGAGATGCATTTGTTTAGATATTTGCATGAACTGCAATAATTTTCAGTCAATGAAAGTTCTAATTTAAAACATATATATGTTCAGCTTGTAATTAAAATCATAATTTTCAGTCAATGAAAGTTCTAATTTAAAACATATATGTGTTCAGCTTGTAATTAAAATCATAGGAATGTAAATTCCATATGTGTATTCTTGGCCAACTTCTGTCATTTTAGCTGTTAGTATTATGTAATTCTGCTAAAGCAAAAGCACCAAATTTGATTTTTAAATATTTTGAATTTTTTTTTCAGTTGTCAAAACAGCAATCAGAATTACCACAGAATGCTGTTTTACTGTTTGATGTTTTATTACATTATTTGTTTGAAGAGCATGTTTCTTATGCTTTGGAGCTTGGCTTATTAGGTAAGGAATCTAATCACAACATTATTTATTAACATTCATGAATTTAAATGAATGAATACATTTTGTACAAACATTTTGAAAATAATGTAAATACAAATTCTACAATAAGTTTTTAATATTTTAGTTTTTCTTCGCTTTATCACAATTCAAATTATAAAATTTGATATTAAAAATAGGCATTTTCCTATCGTGTGATAAAATGCACCAAACAATTTTCTGTAGGAAGATATATTTATCAATCTAATAAATAATTCCTTTAAATAAAAAGGAATTTATTTTATTTGTTTTGTGCTTATATGATTCTTAATTTTGGTGAAACTTGTTAAATCTATTACTGAAACTCTTGATATGCCTTATTATCAATTAGTAATTATATTTTAAATCACACAGTTTTTTTAATGGCTTTCACATTTTCTGAGTTAATTTCTGAGTTCATTAACCAAATTATCTGGTTGTCTGAAAAGTCATGATGCATTTTTTCCTGTGTTCTTCAAAGGCCCTTTATTTATGTAAAGAACAATGAACAGGGAATGGTGTATTGCCTCTTTAGTTTGATAACTTTTTAAGAAGCTTCATAATTCTGTATGCTCTAAAGAACCTAGCTTTATAGGCAAAAAGCTGGACAAGGTGCTGATTTATGGCCTCATTTGAATTGAATGTTATAACATGAAAGAAATTTTGAAGAGAGCAAAATAATTGAAAATCTGAGTGCACAAGATCAGGTGAGTATGACATGCATGGCAACACTTTTCATCCAAATTCCAAAAATTTTTGTCAGTGATTGGACTTGTGTATGGTCTTGTTTCCAAGCTTCTGCTAATGAACCAGTAAATCAGACTGTAAGTGGGCTGTCGCCAACTGGACAATTTCAACAAATCCTATATTTCAGAAACTTCCAGAGCTCATTAGTCATGTAGGAACTGCATTTCATCCCAATAATGTGAGACCACACTCAAGTTTGATCTCCTGACAAAAATTATTGGAGTTTGGTTGAAAAGTGTTGTCGGGCATATTATACTTACCTGATCATGTGACCTCAGATTTTAACTTGTTTTTCTGTCTTCAGAATTTCTTTTGTAGAACATTGAATTCAGGTGGCCATAAATCAGCACCTTGTTCAGCTTTTTGCTGATAAAGCTAGGTTATTTTTTGAGTGAGGAATTATGAAGCTCATTAAAACAAAGCAAAAAGTTATCAAACAAAATGGGGTATATACTACCGACAGATCATTTTTTTATAATTATAGGACCTTTGAAGGATATTGAAAAAATGTATCATGGCTTTTCAAACAACCTAATAGAAAAAGGAAAAAAAAAAAAAAAAAAGGAAAAGGAAAAGAAATTTAAAATGTTTCTGGGAAGATACCTAACAATCTATGAATGAATTGTTAATACTGGAATTGGTTTAATAAGTTTGCCAAGATAATTTATGCACAAAATATGAATCTGCACTACATTGTTTCAAAGTTAATCCTTTGCTTCGATCCACATATTTATAAACGCTTTTGGCAAATAGCCATATTTCCATATTCCCCAATTTCACTATTCACTTGACTTAGTTCCCTGCAATTTCACTTTGTTTTTCAGACTCAGAATTAGACTAAGGGGATACGCTTGTGATTCCCAGTAGATGTTGGGCATGTTTGGGAACTGTGTCTTGACATTCACTGGGAAATGTCTCTTGACACCTTCAAAGAAAATGACTTCTGTAGTTTTGATATGTGGAGAAAAACAATGGGATTGCTGTAAACATTTAAAAAAAGATTCTTTCTTCACATCATGTGTTGAAGAACGTGGAAACCAAAATAGAATGAATGAATAGATCATTTTTAAAATCAAATCTACAAACTTCCCGAATAACCATCATCTGTCTGTCAGTCAGAAGAAACTGTGTCCAACATTCACTGGGAATTGTGCCTCTTGGCACCTTTAAAGAAAATTACTTCCATAGTACTTTGGAGGCATGGAGAGAAATGGAGTGAGATTGCTGAAAACATTTACAAGGAGATTATATTGAAGAAGATTGTAGGCAAACTAGAGTAAACAAATACATAATATTTTTGAACCAAATCTGCAAACTTCCCCAAAATCCCTTGTCTATTTGTCAGTTTAATCAGTCAGTTGAAAATTGTGTCCGACAATCACTGGAAATCACAAGTGACACCTTCAAAGAAAATGACTTCTGCAGTACTTTTGAGGGATGAAGAGAAAACCAGTGGGATTGCTGTAATCATATACAAACAGACTAAATTGAAAAAGATGGTAGCCAGAATAGAATAAACAAATACTTTTTTTTTTAAATATGAAATATGCAATTTTTTTCCAAAATCTCTCATTCTCTTGCTCAGTCAGTTTAGTCAGTCAGTCAGATTTGCAGGCAGGAGGTAATTAAAAATTTAAGTAAAATTCATTTTAATTTGCTGGAAATGCTGCAGTACTCTTGAGGCACAGTAGAAATATAAGTAGTGACAAAGAGTTTGTCAATGTAATAAAATGTTAGTTTTATTAAAAAATATTATAACTAATATGAAAATTAAGTTTTGACTGTATATTAAATTACACTGATGCAATATGTGCAGTTCAAAGTTCTTTACTTTCGTCTAGTAAATTGTGATTCTTGTTGAATGTCTACCATATTTCAGAGTTGTGTCTGATTTTCTCTAAGAATCACAAGTATTGTCCTGCATCTTCAAAGAAAATGACTTTTAGGCTTATGAAGCATGGGAAAATAATGGGATTGCTGTATGCTTGCACATTGCATATATATGCAGTGTAAGAACATTGACACTTTCTTATAGTGTCACTAACTTATACTGACATTCTCTTATACTTTAATATATGTAGTATAAAAAAGTGACACTGACGAATAATTATTTTAATTATAAAGCTAGGCTGATTTTTAAACCTGTTTTTGAAGAATCTGTGAACAGTCTTCATCTTTCAAGATTGTGTTAATGTCCTAGAACTTCAGACAAAAATAAAAAGTAATGAGTGATGGCCTTGCAGTGTATTAAATCATCCTTTTTGGAAAATAGATATTTTAAAATCAATCCTTGCTACTCTGAAAAAATACTCACTCTTGTGCTTTTTGTTCAGAGATCCCATCTCTAAACTTGTTGCTAATATCTTAGTCTGACATTTTGATAAATTGAAATCATGAACAGTTACATCAATGGAAATATTTGTTCTAGAAACACAGAGTCCATTAGAGAAATTCTGAGTGTACATTTAAAATGAACACCATAGAATGAATCTTCCTAAAACAAAATTATTATTGATTATTGTAATCCATTTGAATAAGTGGACTGAGAATGTAAAATTTATCTCTAGCTTGCACTATATGTAGTTTGGAACAGTAATGATCTCGATTGAATTTGATATTCTTAAAATTCAATAATATTTTTTTAACTAAAAACTGCTGAATTAATTATATTTTTAATCATTGCAAGGAAAAAAAACTTGGATGAATTTATTTCAAATGTAATTTTTTACTTGTTTTACTGCAAATACTTTTTAAACTGAAAGGTTGAATCAAGTTGTGAGTCAAACCGCTTCAGAGCTGTTTCTAAATATTGAAAGGTTTCAGTATTTGTTAAACCAGATTATAATCATTATGGTATCTTATTTTCTTGGCTTTTGCTCATCTTAAACAGCAGCATAATCTTTTCATCATTTAAAATTTGCTATTTAAGATCTCTTGCATTGACATTTAGGCTTCATTAATTCATTTTTATAATAATTTGGATTTCTTCCAGTCTCCATCATACCTTTACTTTGCACAACCGTATATTCACTATTATATTAAGTTTCATTATCAGTTTTTTCCCCTGCTTAAAATATGATTGCAGGACTTGTCTAATGTAGCAATTTTTATGAGATTTCAAGAATCTGCAGCCATTGTGATTCTTGAAATCTATGTATCAGCCGTTTTTCTTTCAGCACTTTTGAAAGCTATAAATCATTTACTTATTCTTTTGTAGAATTTCTTTTGCTAAGCTAGAATTTTCTTAAAATCTATTTTATGTAAAATCATTTTTGTAAATTTCTGCTTCACTGTGATCATGGCCTGAATTAAAGGTTTCAACGTTAGGTGACAATTACTGAAACTCTTTATTTTCTCTATTATTTCAAGATCTTTTTGTGGATGTAAAAGTATGAAATTTAGAATTAAATAATACTTGACTAGATTTCTCAAATTTTCTTTTATGTTGCTCAGTTTTAAAAAAGAAAGTTTTATCGCGATAGCCATGATAAAAACTCTTATAATCATCCTATTTCCCATTTTTTTTTTAAAATCCACCAATTTGCTGGTAATTTTTAAATTGAAATGCTTGGATAATTAGCATTCTGCTGTAGTTGGAAATGGTAATTTGTTTTTATGTAATGCCTACTTAAATGTGTAAATTTAGTCATTTAATGTACGGTTAGGTAAATATTTTGTATTTTTTTCTGTTTAAGTGTATGCATAATTGTCTTTTCTTATTTTAATAAGTTTTTTATTTTTGATATTTTTTAAAATCATACACCTTTGCTTTTTTGAAGTTTCATATATTTTAATTGTATAAATTGTATTGTGGTGACTTTTCTTTTCTCAAATTAAAGATTTTTTTTCAATTTATTTTGATTTTATTACTGATATAGATTTTTTTTACTATGTGTGTGTTGTTTGTTTTACATAAATATGTTTTTTTTTAGCCATTCCATTACCGGAACCAAAGAGTCCTCCAGAAATTTATTTCTTTGATGTCATAAGACAGTGCAATGCCATATACCACTTATTTGAAAAACAGTTTGGTGATACTATTGTTCCTTTAGTACTGTAAGTATTACATTATGTTTGAAAACCAAATTGCCTTAATCTTGTTTTAAGGTCTTTGTATCTCTTAGTTAGTGCACTAATAAATAACCTGAGATTACATAATAATTTGCTCCTAGGTTGTTGGAAGTACTAGAATGATGTAAATTGAAATATATTTTTTTCTGAGATAGCTTTTGAAAATAGGTAGGATTATACCTAAAAACAAATTTTCACCAAAAATAAAAAACAGGCTTATTTGTACTTGATAGAAATTTTAAGATCATTACAATTAGAGTGTATAAAAATTGTATGTCATGCAGAGACTAATGTTTCCAGATATTTGTAATTTTTGTTATAATAATAAAATAGTCTTGCTGTAGTAAAAAATATTCCGTAGTGAGATCAAGGCCTGTAAAGGCTTTCCTTCCCCTTTAGTAATTGCTCATAAGTAAAGGAGAATGCTTTTTGTTTGGTTTCTAATGGTTGTGATTTGTTGCTTTTCTGAATCAACATTTTTTAGCATCTTCATTTACACCTTCATTTAATTTTGAAATTTAAGAATGTTTTTTGTTGGCACAAGCTCAGATTCCATAGTTTTTTTAAAATCATTTTGTGTGTGAAATTCCAGAAGTTTGCCAAGTAAGAGATATTTAGGAGTTGTACAACTTGCTACCATTAACTTCCAAGATAAGGCCTATATCTGTCATGATAACACTGTCTATTAAAAAAAAAATACTTGAACTACATTTAAAAAACCATTTCCATACAGTGTGGATTAGGCACATAAGTGAAAGGGGATGTTGACTCCAGGTACTCAGGTAAGAATATTACTGTATATTTGGCCAGTGAGTGAAATATGAAATAAATGTTTACATAGGAAATAAAATATAAAAATCTAATTAAATAAATTTTCTCTGTCCCAGTAAAGTATTATATGAAAGTTCATTTCCAGTCCCAAAATTTCTTAAACAAAACAGTAATTTTTGGAAAAGTTTCAGTTGTGGTTGAAAGATTTCTTTAAAAACAAAATGGTTTTATAGAATTTCCACAGAATATTGATTAGAAATTTAACACTTTTATGTGTAAAATAAAAAGAAATTTTCAAGAACAAATCACATTAACTTAACTCATTTTGATAAGGTAAAATATATGGCTTCTGATAGCAAATGTAAGGTACAGATGGAAAGAAAAAGTTGCTTATCATGGTGGTAAATAAAAATTCTATCATGGGGGAGGGGGAAGCATTTATCACTACATTTGTGGCTAGCCCCTGGAAGGCACTGTTTAAGAATATGTCTGCAAATTTTTTACGTAAAGATAAGAAGACTTTTAACTCATTTCATTGTAATGGAAATTTTACTAACTGGAGTTTCACTAAGGCTGTATAAAAAAGTTAGGTTTTATTTTTTCAAAACCCTTCCATTCACAGAATTTCATAAAATTCTTCTAAGTTACATTAAGGAACTTTTGCAATTACAGAGTATCTGTCTAGGAACGATATTTAAATTAAACATTGTATCTACATTTTTAACACTGTATATTCAAAATCCACGTTACCAAAAACTTTAAAAAAAAATAGTAATAATAAAGAGGGATTATTTAGGATAATTAGGAAGGAAAGATTTATTTCACATGAGTTAGGCGGTTACAGCCAAAAACATCGCGGCAAAAACATTGCGGACGAAAACGTCGCGGAGAAAAAAACGCAAGGTGAAAAATGTCGTGCTACAAAACATCGTGGGAGAAAACATCGCAAAGAGAAAACATCGCAGTTCTAAAACATTGTGGTACAAAACATCATTGTTGAAAATAAAGCAGTTCAAAAACTTCACATTTTAAAAATATCGTGGTTAAAAAATAAAGTATCTACAAATTATCGCATAACAATAACATTGCAAACATATATTTTCTGGCTTTAATAACTGTAAATGGATATTTCCATAATGATTTGTGAGCGCAAGATGGAAAGAAGGATAATTTTTACTTTCTATTTTTGATTAGCTAATAAATTTTTGCTGAGAAAATAAGAAGGAAACTTAAGCATAGAATATTAATGCAACTTATAGCACTTAATACAATTTTAAACTGACATAGTTAACTAACAAAGGCCGTTAATAAATCATTTTTTATAAAGTTTTTACTGGTAATTTTTCATGAAAAGTATTGTAAGTTGCATTTATTTTTTATGCCTTCTTACTTTTTCAGCAAAAATTTATTAGTTATTGAAAAAATGTGAAAGTAAAAATTATCCTTCTTTACATCTTGCGCTCACAAATCATTATGGAAATATTCATTTACAGTTATTAAAACTTGAAAAAAGCATGTCTAGGATATTATTGTCATGCGATAATTTGTAGATACTTTATTTTTTACCACGATGTTTTTAAACTGTAAAGTTTTTTAACCGCTTTTGTAACAATAGAATTTTTACGGAATGATATTTATAGCCTAATGCCCAACCCCCAACCTGGAGGACCAGTCCCCTGATATAATCCACAGAGCAGGGTACCCAGTTATATATTTCACCTCCTAGTTTGTCATCCGGACCCACCCTGAGCATTCAACTCACTGCATCGCTCGTAGTAGCAACTTAATGTGACAACAGCCGGAACAAAGCGAGAAAATTTGCAAGCTACTCGTGGCTTAACGCTGGAACTGGAACCAGTTATATCCCTAGACAATGGGTACCTAATTTAGTCACCCTTTACAACACATAGGCTACATTGGGACTGTTCTTTTACACCTGGTCACCACATAGTGTATCAAGTTTGGCGTTTATATAAAAATTCCTGAGCATGTTTTATTTCATTTAAAGCACGCATATGTCAAACACAGCAGTTATGATGTACATAATTACAATTTTATTTTATTGATTTTTTAGTTCTACGCCAAAGCATGGTGATTGTTTGCAGAAGAAGAAAAAAACTGTAGAAGAAATGGAAATTAAACTGCATACTGGGCTTGAAAGGTACAAATTGTACATTTTTATAGCTATTATAAATTTATCATTTTAGTATTTATGAAAAACTGCAAAATTGATGAAAGCGCAGGAGTTCATCAGGACTCACATTTTTTTGCTTTACAGCAGATTACAACTTGCTTACAAATTTTGAAATAATTGACAAGCTAATTTTGCTAAAATTAGTGTCAGGCACCTCTCATGTAATTTTCTTGTTGTTAAACAGGTTGAGTTTTAAACTGCCGTAAAGGTGATCTATTAAATATAGAAGAGTTAAGTACTTTCATCAAATATTTTTATCTGCTTAGTAACTTAAGGTGAGAACTGTTATTGTTAGTGGATGTAAGAATATATTTGTGTCTCTGCCACTGTATGCTTCTTAAGCCAGAGAAGCAGACAGTAGGCACTTTATTCTCTGCATACTGACAAGACCTTATTTTCTACACACTGAATAGTACCTGGTAACCCTCTGTGGTGGATTATTTGCTGCTATTTTATCACACAGTTTGTTATAGGATATGTAAAGTTTTAAAAAGCTAGTTGCTTTGAATTTTTTATTTATATTTTTAAGAATTTTGCATGCATGTAAATAATTTTAGTGGAATTATATGTAAATTGTAGTATCACTTTTATAATATAACAAGAAAATTCTCAAGAAAAGCTAAGCTCAATGTGAAAAAATAAGTTATATGTATCGTATTAAATAACATCTCAGTCTATAATAGTTTTTTTTAATTCAAATATTAATTCTTGATTAGGTAAATTGATGCATTTTAAACTGATTTTTATACAGTATATCAATATGACAGTCATCTGCTAGTGTCATGACAAAATTTCATAAAGGTCCTAATTTTTAGTGAACTATCAGGAATTTCTGATTGTTCTCTAATGAAACTAGTGAATGTATCAGTTGTAAGTTAACACATATTTTAGATTCTGTAGTATAGCAAAGCTTATCATTATTGAGTTGCTGAGATTTATTTAAAGTGATCAAGATTCATTAACTCCATACCATTGCATAAAGCTAACTCAGGTTCATTCTTTTTGTTAATTTATTTTTCTTTCATGTCATTTTTGTGATTTTTTTTTAAACTTGAAAATGTTATTTTTTTAATATTAAGCTGAAAAAATCAAGTTTTTTTATCCTTATATCAATATTTTAAATAATCCCCCCCTTCATTTGCAGATGTATCACATCTATTTTGGGTTGGGTAAAATTTCTTCTACAGTCTGAACAAAAAAAGACTGATTTTAAACCTGAGACTGAAATGGCAACATTTGATGCTGATAAATCTACTGTTGTAAGTATGAATTTTAGATTGGAACTTCAGTATTCTGATCTGTGTAAAATTGTTTTAAAGCTGAGATTAATCATTAATTCGCTTGCTTTTAATTGTATTTTTCTCCTAAAGTATAAACTGTATGGAAAAATTTAGTCCTTAAAAATTGTTTCATAATTATATCAAAAAGAAAACCATTTCATATATGCAACCAGGGAAAATTAAGGTTAAAAAGCTCTTAAAATTTCCTAAAACTTTATTGGCATGATAATCATTAGTATGAATATTAGCTTAACAGCAATGTAATGAATTTCATTAAAAATATATTTCCCAACAATATCAGCAGCATTTTGATGAAAAGTATGAATATTATTTGTGGTAACTTTATTTCATAACAGATCACATTGGAAAGAAATAATTTTTATACGATTTTGAATACATTTGGTATGCCTATCAAAAATAAGTATAATAAATATACAATAATATATATTTGTATATGTACTTAATAAATGAATAAAAAAGTATGCATGCTTATTTTATAACATTATTTAGGGGAAAAATTCTTAAGTTTTAACCTGTCATTTAGCCTCTTTGTTTCTCTACAAAATTAAACTTTTATTTGTAGATGATTGTATAAATTTAATAGAATTCATTTTTTAAACTTTTTTACTTAAGCTCAATATTTTGGAGATGACATTATTCATTAAAGAAAAGGCTTTGGTTCTTGTAGAATTAATTTGTTGTTAGGGTTATTATTTTACATGCAGTTTAATTAACACTTACATAAGATCTAAAACTGTAGTGTAGCAACTAGTGTTGAAGTGGAAGATACTTTGATGTTTTAATGGTAGTTTTAAATGATAATAAGTGAATTATATTCACATGGCTTTAATCCATGCACATATAATATTCAAAACAATGGTGTACCATGTACTGTTGTAATAAAGAAAGGTTGTCTATTTTAATACAGGGTGTTTCAGAAAGGTGAAGCAACTTCCTTGTAAAAATAGCTTTGTTTTGTAATGTGAAAATACAATAAAATGGGGAGAAAAAGCTATTATTTCTATGTCTTTTATTTTTATTCTTATATGATCATATTGTTGCGTGTCTATGGGTTCGTTACGAAATGAATGCACAAGTCCGATGAAAAATGAAGAAAATTTATTGTTATCACAACAAATATGATTAAATGTCCTCAAATAATCGTGCAGTATCACAGTAGTTATCTTTTAACTACTCAAACGTTCAATAGAACTTAATTCAAAACAGCTAAAGAAAGCTAATCCGCGAATTTGCTACAGTCAACAAGAGCAGTTTTCTAAACAACAACAAACTAAGTAATTACTACGAACTGAGAGGTTTTCCTCCTTTTATAAGATTTTAAAATCGCGTGTGAGAATTTTCTAGTACTTTCTCGAAATCAGAGATATTTATTAAATGTTACATGCACGCGCTCTTGTACTTTCAAATTTCCGGCTTAGCTTTCTTTTAATATTCGAATAGTTCTAAGGGGCGGCGATTTTTTTGACAGAGTTATAGGTTGGTAACATTCCCCTTTGCGTGGGAAAGAAAGGGTCTGTCATCTTGTAGAAAGTTCTGAATTTCTGATAATTTTAGATGCTATTTATTACCTTTTTTCTAGTTGGCTAGAGGGAGTCCAAGTTTCTTTAAGATTGGTTAAATTTTTAATTTTAGTGTCGTTTGAGCCAATAGTGATTTTGAGATGTTTCTTGGTGAGTGTCAACTGAGTTTTCTTAAGCTGTTGCAAGGGAGAAGAAGAGGGGGATTTTTGCGAGGTTTTTGTGAGATTTGATCCAGTTTGATCGACTTTGACAGGAGAGTTACCCGGCGACCTCTTGAGGGCGACCATGGTTATGGTGGTGATCTCTGTGGCCCTGGCAGTGGGGACTGGTCCCAGCTCGTCGCGGGCTCCTTGCGGTTAAATTTCGGCATAATGGGCAAAAAGATCTGGGGCTAGGTCCAGCGTCTTAATGATGTCTCTGACGTTTTCCATGTGTGCAAGAGCTGAGTTCTGAATTGCTTGCGCTGAAGTTCCAGTTTGCTTTGAAAAATATGGAAAAAGAGGGAACTCGTCATCTCCTGCTGTCCATCTCCTTCCGTTATTTTCAGAGGGTCTTCAAAATAAAAGGGAAGACTGATTATTATTATTATTATTATTATTATTATTGAGTTAAATGCTGCTTCAAAATAAAAGGGAAGACTGATTATTATTATTATTATTATTATTATTATTTTGAGTTAAATGCTGCTGGACCGTGTAGTGCGGTTGCTATGAGAGAATTCTCGTTATGCTATGAACACACATCAAAATTAAGCTTAGTAAAAATATAAAAGGCTGTAGGATTTAAGAAGTAAAATGTAAGTTTAAAATATATTCTTGTAGCTTGTATAAAGTTGATTGATAGGAAGTGTCCAGTGAGAAGGAAAAGCTTGAAATATGTTTTGTTTCATTAAAATAAGTTTTGATACCATTTTATCGTGTCAACTGTTCATCAGATGATCAAGATTGCACATAAAAGCATGCCTATATTTACTTGTTCATGCATGTATTATGATACTAACTTTTGAGATAAAATTAAACTGCTTTAATTTAAAATTAATTTGCTAGCTGTTATGAATTAAGCATTTAATGATGTGAGAAAATTCATCATCTGATTGAATTAGGCCAAAAATCTTTTGTACTATAACTCAATAGCTTGTGCTATACTTTATGTAAAATATTATTTTGATCTCCCCTCTATTTTATTTTTACCCAGTTCATTCCATAATTATGATATTTGAATAAAATGTAATCCTTGGAAATTAAAATTTTAGTAAATACTTTGCTAATATTTTATTAAAATTTGATAAAAATCCGTTTTACAAATATTGCTAATCTAATACATATAAAATCTCTTTATATAGCTATGTCTAGATAATAGTATGTTATTTTGTAAAAAACCTTAATAATTTATTATTGATAATTACTTAAAGAATATTTATTTTAATATTATGTGAGTAAGAAAATAATGTACAGAAACGAATAATTAAATACTTTTTCAACACATTCCACGTCCATGTGTGGGGGTCGTTTTAGATAGGGTCATAGAAGAGTCCTGTATAGTGTAACAAGTATTTATTAGCAGGTTTAAGTTACACACAGACATTACATTTACTTTAAGAAAATTACAGAGCAAGAGTCTGATACAACCTACCAAAAGGAACACTTGGCATTTACTGAAGTACTTCTCTGCCTACGCACCAGAGTGCAGCCTTGTTGTCACAGTTAGTCCAACAGTTTATGTTAAAGGATTGGTTACAAACTCTCCCTCTGGCTCCGCCGACGTCTCGGCAAGGAGACAGAACTGGAGGGTTTGGGAGCTCTTGTAACATTGTCTCTAGTCTCAGTTTTTTTGGTTTTCTGGGCAAGGGGACCTCTTTGAAGCACTGCCTGTAGCCACAAGTTCTTGATTATTTCAGAATGCAAAGTAACTTTTGGCGGCCTACCTCTCTTCCTGAGCGGAAGAATGGGAGAAATGGACGCGTCTTTGAAAGGTGTTAGTGCAGACATATGGTACGTTCCTAAGGGTTCTGATGGTTTATGAAGGCTTGAAAGGGCATAAGAAGTAGGTGATTTCTGTGTCATTATGGAGCATCACGCTTTGGTATGAACTTGGAAGTCTTTTTGTTTTTTGCATTGCTAACGGGATGTAAATTGACCCATACCTTATCACCTGTTGAATAAAACACTTGTCGCCTTCCTTTATCATATTGCTTTTTATGTTGATCTTGCTTTATTTCAATATGCTCTTGTGTGTCCTTTGTAATAGCTGCAAATCGTTTAAGATAAGGTGTGATTTCAGGAACAAAGTTATCATTTTCGACCACAGCTTTGAAATCGTGAACAATGTCGTCGACTGTCCTCAGCTCTTTTCCAAACATTAGGAATGCTGTGTATGGCCTGTAGTGTCACAGACGGCCGTATTCATAGTGAAGCGAATAACTGGGAGTTTCGAATGCCAGTTGTCATGCGCATCTCTTACTAGGATTGCAAGACGAGGTTTTAAGTCTCTATTTTTACGTTCCACAGGATTTGACTGAGGAAAGTAAACTGGTATCAAGTTTTGATTGATATTTAATGTGCAGCAAACTTGTTGCATGACTGCTTTGATAAACTGGGTGCCGTTATCGCTGATGATTCTTCGTGATATGCCATGCCGCATGACTACTTCTTCGATGAGGGTTATAGCGCAGTCGCGTGCTGTAGCTTGAGCAAGAGGAAATAATTCAACTCATTGCATAGCACAGTCTTCGACAATGAAGATCCATTGTTTTCCAGTGTCAGTTTCTGGCAGTGGCCCAAACAAATCAATAGATATGATCTCAAAACGTTGAGAATAGACAGGGGTTCTTAGCAGTCCAGCTGGCTTTTGGTTGGTAGCCTTGTAGCAGTTGCATTCAGGACAGCTTTTTACATAGTCGGATATATACTTTTTCGTACCAGTCCAATAATAGTGTCTGGCAATTCTTTGGAATGTTCCTTCCTCTCCATAATGACCAGCCATTGGGTCAACATGGTGCTTTTGTATGATGGATTCACTCTCAGCAGTGGGAATTACTAACTGGGCCTCTTCTGAATCAGATCAGGGACATATTGTAAAGAACACATTGATTCATTAAGAATTCCCATTCAGTCCAGTTGGCACATTCTTCAGTTTTCTGAGTGGATTCGAAACTTTCTATATCTTTATTAAGTTTTCATCTTAAGTTGAGATTCCCGCACGTCTTTTGGACTTCTTGTGGGCATGTCCACTACAGATATATTTGAAATCTCACAAGGTGAAACTTCATGTTCTCGGAGCTTGGACAGCATGTCAGTGTTGACGTTTGCCTTTTCAGGAATGTATTGTACTTTCATGTTGAAAGACTGAATTTCAAGCCCCCATCTAGCAAGTCTTCCGGTTGGAGACTCATAGTTCAAAAACCATTTTAAAGGTTGATGATCGGATGCTATAGTTACTTCTGATCCTTCGACGTAACCACGAAATTTCTTCAGGGCCCAGACTACAGCAAGGGCTTCTCGTTCAGTCGTCAAATAGTTTCACTCAGCCGGAGAAAGCAGTCGGCTGGCATATTCGATAGAGTGCTCTTTAGACCCTTCCCCTTGAAGTAAAATGGCTCCAAGAGCATAATTGCTTGCATCTGTTCAAAGCATATACGGTTGAGTTCCATTTGCTTGCTTCAACACAGGAGGTGTTATGAGGCAGTTTTTTAGTTTCAAATGCTTTATGCTGGTTGAAACACGTTGGGCACCACTTTGTGTGTGGGTCATTTTAGATAGGGTCATAGAAGAGTCTATAGTGTAACAAGTATTTATTAACAGGTTTAAGTTACACATGGACATTACATTTAACTTTAAGAAAATTACAGAGCAGTCTGATACAACCTATCAAGTGGGATGCTTTGCTTTTACTGAAGTCCTTCTCTGGCTACTCACCAGAGGGCAGCCTTGTTGTCACAGTTAGTCCAACAGTTTATGTTAAAGGATTGGTTACACATGTTAATTATTTTTCATTTTATTAAAAAAAAAATATTTTTAATCTTATTAATTATCATTTTTAGACTTCACTTGATGAATTTTTTTTTTTTTTTTTTTATAAAGAATAATGTCTAAAATGGAATATTAACATAGTAGATTTCTTATTGATTTTCCAATATATCACACTGTAAATATCCCTCTTATTCTGATTTTATTTGATTGAACTGAAAATATTAAAAAGGCAGTGAATACTATGCACACATCTTAAGACAGGCTGTATTTATAAATATATTTTAAAAAATCTAATTATGTTATACTAATTTGTTGCAAGTTTATAAAAATTATTTTTGTATTATAGGCTTGTAGTTGTGTAGTTAAATTCATTACAGAATGTGTTAAGAAGATTAAAGTTACTCTTGATGGAAAGAATGTAGAAGCAGTTTTAACAGAATTAGGGACAAGGCTGCATCGAGTAATACTTGATCATTTACAGCAGTTCCAGTACAGCTCTATTGGTAAGTAAATCTTCTCTATTGGTAGTAAATCTTAACCTATCATACTTTATTTATATACATGATTTTTTTAAACTTAATTTAAAGCAATTCAGTTTATTAATTTTTATTTTTTTAAACTCTCCCAAATTGTATGGTTATGATAAAGGACATTGAAAAAAATTAAGTATTATTTAAAATAACATGATGATTTTTTGCAGCTTGCAAATATGGCATTTAATGCATTAATATTTTAACTTTATTATGTGATTTGATTGTCATTGCATAGATTTTTTTTAGTTAGAGCTTATAATTACTTTACCTAATAAGAGTTTTTTTTTGTTTGTTTTTTACTGTTGTTATCACAAGAAAAATGGTAAAGAGAATTTAAAATGAATTTCATACTGTTCCTAATCAGAATTTTAGAGAGTGCATACACACACATATTATCATATTAATGCATTCATATGTGTTATATATCTGCTAGCAAAAAAGGCAGCAGCAAATAAGAAGAAATTGTTATATAAAAATTGTTGTTATGTTGACAAAAGTCTTTTTTTCCACTTTGCTTTTAAAATTATGGTCTTTAAATAGGATAAATTGGCCTCTCACATAACTTGACATGTTTAAATGCATGTAAAAAGTTAGTGCATACATAGCACAAAAAATTTTACTTAAAAAGATGGCTGCTATGTATGTGTTTGCATGGGAAATGTATGTATTTTAATAAAAATCAGCATTCCTTGGGCATTGCAATAAATATAATATACAGTATAAAGTCCGTAATCCGGACTTGTCGGGACTTCGGCGATTCCAGATTTTAAGGGTTTTTCCCGATTATAGATCATCAATTTAAATCTGGTAAGATGGCATGCAGAAATTATACAATTAAAAATATGAAATCGTAATTTATGAAATAAAGAGCAATTATAATCTAAAAGGTATAAAAATTTACAAAAAAAAAAAAAAAAAAAAAAAAAAAAGCTTAATGTTTATTTGTTTACTTTATTAAACTTTTTTCCAATGTAAGTTTTTTAAGTTGCTTCATTTTTTGTGCTAAATGTGCATGCGTAAACATTAAATGAACGTGTGTAACATTAAACGCACATGCATAAACGCATTACGCGCATATTTGTGGCTTTGAGGTCCGAATTAAAAATCATTCCGGATGATGGACGTGTGGATTACAGACTTTGTACTGTACCAGGTGACCCAAAAGTCCGTTATCATTTGAAAATTCAATAATTCATATAATAATGTAGGCAGAGAGGTGAAAATTGACACACAAGCTTAAAATAATGTGGGGTTTTATTAAAAAAAAAAAAAAAAACACTGAAAAAAAAAGGGCAGGGCCATCATATGGCACCTGAGCAGCTAAATGACAGCAATGCTGCATGAGAATTGTGAAGCAGAGTAGCAGCGATCGAGAGTGACAGCAATGCCGCATGAGAATTTATGTGCATGAAATGAGTTGTAGTGTGAGAGGGAGTCATTCCCTTCATGACTTAGTCACTTTTCTATTCTTCCCTCTGGGTGCTGGTCACAGTGGGATGTGGATTTATCACATCAGTTTCGATCGGACACTTTTTCTTCAAAGAATTTTGTAGTTCTGCTATTCAAACTGTCAGTGTGATGGATGTGAGGTAAGGTGATATGTTACAGAATCACAACATCCTATTCTGGGTGATAAACACCTGTTGGAAGGTGTGACTTTTATGCAGGATGGCACTCCACCCTATACTGCTACATGTGTGAAAGACCTCCTCTTTGGTGAGGATTGCTTGCTGAGCTGTCACTTCCATCATGCTTGGCCTTTCAGGTCCCCAGATTTCAATCTGTGTGATTATTGGTTGTGGGGTTACTTGAAATCTCAAATCTACTGTGATCATCCAACCTCATTAGGGCTGCTAAAAGGCAACATCCAATTGTAATTTCTCACCATACCTTACAGATATGCTGTACAGTGCAGTTCACAACATTGTCCCTCGACTACAAGTATTGTTGATGAATGATGGCTGAAGTGTTGAATTTGTTAGGAAGAGCATAGTCTTCCTAACAAATTCAACACTTCAAACACTTTCAAACTTCCTAACAAATTTAACACTTCAAACACTTTCACTTAACAAATTCAACAACTTTTGCTAAAAACCAATTCTTATGTTAATTATTGCTTTTGTTATCACGTGAAAGGCCATCTGTGAGCCATTTTAAGTCCCCCCCTTTTTTTTTTGCTTTCAATAAAACCCCATGACATTTTAAGCATGTGTGTCAGTTTTTACCTCTCTACCTATATTATTCAGGGAATTATTTAGTTTTCGAATGTTAACAGAATTTTTTGTCACCTGGTGTTTCTACATTGTATAGTTTTCAGAAAATATATTTTCTTTTTAGTTTATTAATTAGACAGAATAGTTGTTTTTGAAATGTTAGGAGTAGTTCATCCTTCCCTTCTAAAGTAGTGCATTATAAACCTCTGTTACAGTGTAGGCCAGTGGTGGCAAACCTTTTTGGGGACACGTGCCCAAAATTCAACCAAAACCCACTTATTTATAGCAAAGTGCCAAAACTCCAATTAAACCTGAAAATGGGGGTTTGGCTTAGCAAAACAACACACACTTGTGAAGGGAGTTTTCAACGATACAAAAACTTTTTATTACAGGAAATAGTTTTGTTTTGCTTTAATTAATGGGATTTTTGCTGTTGTACAAATACTGATAATTCATCAAACTTTGGCTCATACTTCGTTAATTCGAGCGCAGCACTCAGGTTATCTGTCAGTCTGTTTCTTGCGTGACATTCATATCATTCAAAGCTGAAAACAGCTGTTCACATGCATAGAGGATCCAAACAAAGTAAGAATAGCACTCCCAAGTGTTTTCATTGATTTAAATTTATTTGGCAGAGAATTCCACGCTTTAAAGGATTTCATTTTCATAACTAGCAGTTGTGCTGTCTGTCTGATCTCTTTACACCTTATCTTCTCAAGTGTTGCATGCAGATCAGAGAATTTTCTTTTCCACATAAAGCTTTCTTGAAATTCCAACAACTCCATTTCCAAATTTTCAAGATCTAACCATTGTAGGCAAGAAAGATCAAGTTCTTGAAACTTAGATTTTTCTGGAGAAGTAAGAAAACACATGTTTCCATCTGACAGAACTGTAGAAATATGTTATTAAAATTCTCCTTTGAAGCTGCTACGATGCTCTAAAATTCCTTGTAGATTTCTTCATGACTTGAAGAATTGTGTGCAAATTGTGTAGAATTTTCTAGATGCATCTTTAGATTTGGAAAATATTTCAGCTTCCCATTTGCAAGATTTCTTTCAAAAACATGCAGTTTTCTTTTAAATGTTTTTATATCACAAAACATTCTCTCTGCTGCTTTTCCCAAGCCTTGCATTTACTTGTTCAGTACATTGAAGTGTTGTTTAAAATCTGCAAAAAATGTAATGTGCTTGAACATACTGTAAAAAACACACTGTGCTTGGAACCTCATCAAGAAGTGCTTGAAACTTTCGACAATTAAGAGCTCAAGACATGATGTAATTCACCATTTTGGTGACATCTTTGAGAACATCGTCTAATATTTTGCAGCTGTCTCTGGCACAAAGAGCTTCTTGGTGAATGAGACAATGAAACTGAATAACTGGATGTTTTGCTTCTTTAACAAAGAACTATATGAAGTCAGATGTTGTTCCCAATATGCAAGGGGCACCGTCACTAGTAATTGAAACTACTTTTTTTGGTCTTATGTCTTGTTGCAAAAAAGCTTCCATCACAGCATTGTAAATATCTATTACTTGTGTTCTTTTGGGTAAAGATGCCAATTTAATCAACTCTTCTCTCATCGTGTCACCAACATCATAATGCAAAGTTATTGCTAGCCTTGCATGGTTGTTTATATCTGTGCTTTTGTCCAAGCACATTGAGTAACAGGCTGCTTTTTGTAAGTCAGTGGTGAGCTGCTGACCGATATCACTTGCCATCCGCAGGAATCCACTTTAACAGTATTTCTGCTAAGTGTCATCTCAGCGATGCATTGTTTAATTTTGTATTGTTTGGCAAGTCATGAAAAGGAATTTACTCCCAGACAATGGGTCCTCTTTGATTAAATCCCCATCGGAGAGCGGTTTATCATGTTTTGCCAGGCACAGTGAAATTTGAAAGCTGCCTCTTGTTAGATGGTTTGTTTTAGAAAGATAATTGCGAAAACCAACTTTCTGGTAATTTTAATTTCTCAATTTCCCTTCAAAAAGCATCCTCCATTCAGCTTCATAAAGTTTGACAACAATCTTGTGGTTGGTGTTAAAATACCGTCTGACACTAGATGTGCGACACACAACACTTTTCCCTGCACAGAATGCATATCGTTTTCCTATTGTGTTCAGTAACTCCAAATTATTCTGTCCGGGTCTCTTGAAATGTTTTCCACTAATTTCAATTTTGTCTTTTTTGCTGGTGTCATTTGTGAGGGTTCAAGACCTGGAGTATAGAAAAGTACAAAATTTAAAAAATGAAGCATTAAATATAAATCGATCATATTCTAAAAAGAGGTAACATTATTAGCCAGTAGTAAGAAATTAGATTTTCACAAATCAACAATCTTTGGCTGCAGATTCAAATATGAACAGGGGACAGCAGTAACTGTTAACATGAACATCTCTTTGCTAAACTTCTAACCATCGAAATTTAGCAAAGAGATGTTCAGGTAACTTTTAATAGATTTCATATGCTTCTTTTTGGCTTTATTGGGCTTATTTTGGCTGAGCACATGTGAATATGCTTGGTTTCCTTACTAAGCTTTCTTGTTTTGCTATATTATCAAATTTCATGTTTTTGCATTATGTTTGTACATTCTGTTTAAGAAATTAAATTACAATTATTCATAAGTTACCTTAAAATGCTTAGATCTGAAAACTCTATTTAACAATGAAAGTATTAAAACTCACTCGCAGTCTGCAATGAATTTGAATTACTTTAGCAAGCATTAGCTGCTTCAATAACGTCTGGCAAAGAATATTCTGGCATATTCTTTATCATGTAACGAGTTATATGTTTGGCCCAAACAATTGAGACATCATAAATTTGGTCATTAAATATGCATATCATTTCTTTGGCGATATATGAAAATCTTATATGTAGACTTGCACCCTATGCCATTAGCATTATGTGATAAGTAAGTAAGTGAAATGTTCAAGAACAAACTAAAACACTTATTTAAATTACATAGTATCATTTTATTATGATTATTGATTAAGGAAGTAATATTTTAGTCGCTTGGCTCTGCATGCCGACAGTTGAATGCATGAGTGGTGGTGTAAATTCAAGAAATCCATTGGATTAAATGAGTAATTAAATGAAAACAAAAGTGAAGCTTTTGGGTGCCTTATTTATTTATTTATTAATCTTTCAATTTTAAGGGGAAAAGTAAAAAAAAAAAAAAAAAAAAAAAATATGCATTTAGTGTAATAAATAAACCAATTAAACTTTTAATAATGCCAAAAATAATTTAATGTTTTAAAAGCATAATTTTCTAAACTTTTTATAAATTAGACTTTTGTAAATTTGGTTTAGACTTTTTGTAAATTTTGGTTTAAAATCATTTGCAGTAATCTCTGTCCTCATAGTTATCTTGATGAGTCCCTCTTACGTCTGCAGAAAGTATATGTATATCACATGATAATTCTTTATTATAAGCTACACGGCATTGAAAAATGGAACACGAAGAAGGAGTGGCCCCAAAATTATGCAAATTTCAGGGTAGATGCACGTCACCAAGTTATGCACATGGTGTGAAATGCACAGCTCTCCAGCACACATTGAAGAAGATATCAGGAAAGGAAGTCGTTATTTCTGCTACAAATGGATATGGATAATTTTTATGGAAATAATTGTAGAAAATTTGTTCTTGTCTCAGAGGATGCTTATAATAGCAAAGAATGCCATGCCGTCATCAACAGATTTACGAGAGGCATGGTGATCGGATTGAGAAGTGCAGGTTGGTCCATGTGGCAAATCTCAGCTGAAACACACCTAGATGTATTCATAGTGCACTGGCTGTAGTAGCAATGGTTGGAACAAGGAAATGTGGCAAGATTGAGGGATGCTGGTGCAGCCAGTGTGACGTCAGTACTCATGGATCGACACATCTACCTACAAGCAGTGACGCACCCGCAAGCCACTTTTACCTCCATTCTGCAGTATGCTCAAGACACCCTAAATATTCCCATATCGACCAGAACCATTTGCCCTTGATTGGTGGCTAGTGGCCTGCACTCATGGCATTCTTTAAGAAGACTGCCATTGACCCCATGTCATAGATGTTGGCGTCTGCAGTGGTGCTGGGATCAAGCAATGTGGACGATGGAATGGCACAGGATCTCAGATGAGTCACTGTTCTGTTTCTCCAATGATAGTCACTATGTACGCGTATGGTATCAATGTGGAGGCAGGTCCAATCTAGCAGCAGTTCTGGAATGCCCCACCATGCAACATTGCTGCATCATGGTTTAGGGTGCAATTGCAAACGATTCCAGGTCACTTCTAGTTCATATTCAGGGCGCTATGCTGGCCCAACAACATGTGAATGATGTGCTGCGGCTGTTGGGGGGGCATTGGTCACCTCTGCCTCCAGGGAGTGCCCAATGCCCTTTATTAGCAGGATGACGCCTGACTGCACACTGCTTACTTCAGCCAATGTGCTCTGCAAGTTGTACAGATGCTTTCCTGGCAATTGTTTTCTTCTGATCTGTCACCAATTGAACATATTTGGGATGTGATTGGATGCCGTTTGCAGACCCTGCCATTGCCACATTCAGAAGACGAACTGCGGCAAATGGTTGGCAAGGAATGTAGAGTGAATCCTCAGGACATCATCTGTAGTCTCATTGACTCTGTACCTAGACGTGTTGCTTTGTATATCACCATCCAAAGTGGTCCTACAAACTACTGAGCCAATGCTGTTCTCGCCCTGTATTATGCATATCATTTCAAAATTAATATCACTTATTTTTCATTGCTGTCTCTCACAGTTTTCTGAGTTTCATCACTTTCTAGGCATTCCTTTTAGGTGTTGCATTTTCAGTGTTGGGTAGGATGTATATATGTGGATGTTGATGATGTTTTCTTTTGTACAAACAGCCATAAAATGGATTTATTAATGAATTATTATAAGATTTTAATTTAATGTATTAGGAAGCAATTTATAGCAAACAATATGCATTATTAATTTTAAAAATAATTTTTTTTCCATAACATACCTATCTTCATTTTATGTATAAAATGTTAATGTTTGTTGATCTTACTTATCTTACTCAGGTGCTATGGTTGTTATCTGTGATTTAAATGAATACCGCCGCTGTGTTCGAGACTTCCAGATACCTCTGTTGAATACATTATTTGAAACATTGCATGCTTTATGTAATTTGCTGGTAGTTGAACCAAGCAATTTGAAACAGATGTGCACTGTTGACCAATTAGTAAGTGCTAGCTTATGCATTCTTTTTGAAAATTCAATACAAGGATTTCTTATCAATTTATAATCAGATTCAAGTTTACAAATTAACAGTTTTGCCTACCATATCATGTTAAATAATCATAACTATTTTAATATTTTATTACCTGATCAAAAATGAAAAATTTATTTGCTTGGAAACTGAACTCAGATTGAACTTTATCAAAAATTGATAAAGACATGAAGTATGTTTCATCTGCATACTATTGTTGAAGCAGTTATGCTATATTCACTTCACTTTTACTTAATCTAATATAGTTTTTATGTGAATTAGGAATGTTTGAGTTTTTTTAATTGGCATTTGTTAATTAAAGCACATATATGTATAAGTTTTAGTATGCATATTCTCATACACATGAAAAAAAAAAACGTTCATATGATATTTAATATATTTTTTATTTTTTGTATCCTGTACATGTGCTAGTTTAAGATGAAAACTGTATCATTCATATGATATTTAATATATTTTTTATTTTTTGGTTCCTGTACATGTGCTAGTTTAAGATGAAAACTGTATCTTAATTACTCTCTTAATTTAAAAATCAAATTGTTAAATCCTAGTTAAAGTTTTGAAATAAAGTATAATTATGTATCATATCTAAATGTAATTAATTTTATGTTACAATAATAAATATTAATTTTCAAATAATTAATTTCACTCAGGTTAAAAAGGTGGCATATTTAGTTGTAATAAAACTTCAGTAGCTTTTCTCACATACTTTGCAGCATGCAGTCAGAATATAATTAATTTGTTTGCCAGAGGGAGAGAGTTGTGGTGAAAATATTTGCCAGTTTTGTTGAGAGAGGATTTTTAGTAAAATATGTTTTTTTTGTTATATTAGACATCTTATGCTAATATATATCTGCAAAACTAGTATTTCCACATGTCTGTATAATAATATCATGGCTTCTGATGTAATTTATATTTACAATCTTTGCATGCTTGAAAAAGGGGGAATAATCTAGCATGATAGGATTAGGAAATTCATGAGAGCATTTAAAATTTTATACAGAGTGTTTAAAAAATGATTGAGATAAACTTTATACAATGTTTAAACAAACCAAAAAAAATTTTAAGATAATTTTTTTTTTCTTTACTTTTTTGTTCCTCCCCCCCCTTTTTTTTTTTTAAAGAATGGTCAGAAATGAAATGTTAAAATTCTAAAAAATGCATGCTTAACCAGAAGAAACAGTTCCTAGAACATAAATATGCAAAAGCTTCAATTTTTGCAGCAGTGGATCAGCTTACAGATGACTTATAGCTTGGGCATCTGGAATTTGGACCGTACACTGTATTAGTGTGAAATGTTTACTTTTTTTATTTGTTATTAGTAATGTTTCTAAGGCAATATATAAATAGAATATTAAAATTTTAAATTAAGCAAAGCATCATCTTTATTTTGGTGTAAATTTTATAAAGTAAACTCTATCAATTGCCAGGGCAGTCAGACCAAAGATATGTATTGTTAAGAATGAAAGCTTCACAGCAGCAGGAGTGGCTCCCTCCGAACGAAAAGGGACACAACTACACATGCGTGAAATATCCGTCGCCAAAACGCTCCAAAGCTTGAAGCTGATGCCGAAGTTCGAACAGGTTCCACGGTCACGTTTATCAAGAATTTAAAGCTGTGTCACTCCATTTTTTCCCCTACATATCGACAGATATAAAATCAGACATCAAACTGCGATATGGATAATACAAGTTCAACTAGTAAAGCAAAAAAGCACGAAAATTCGAGTTTAAATTATCGCGAAAAGTCAAAAAACGATTCATCTTAACCCGTAATCCTCAATTTCCTGTACACGTGGCGGAGGTGGAAAATCTTAGCCAGGTACATCAGAAAGGGGAAAATTCTCGCCAACAGGTTCCGTCGCCAAATCCCTTGGTGAATTGTCCCTCTTCTTTCTAGCGGCGTAGAAGACAAACTGGTTTACATTACGTCTATGGAGCCTTTCCTTCTTTACATAGACTTTCTTTGGTCAGACATTTCTCTTCTTCAAGAATAAAAAATTTTGCCTAGTTGAGAAAATTAAAAATTTTGTAATAAAGTTTATTTCATTGCCAGGGATCTGCCTAATATCATGAATAAATGGAATATTTGTTTAGACAAATTTTGTAATCTAGTGTTTTATTAAAGCTCATTTATATAAAATTATTTTGTATTCAGTATAACACAAGGTATCTCAAGCTAAGTCTGCTTCAAAAACTACTGACTTCAGATTCTGAATCCGATTTATTATCTTTCTGTGAACAAAGGAGTATATAAAAGAATTCCAATATTCTTTAAGCAACTAATCCATCAATGTATGTAATCCATGCCTATTTTTAGATGTAAGCAAACAAAAGTTTTATATTCGGAAATTCTGCATGGCAGATTTGAGGGTTTATTTACATATAATTATATATATGTATATTTTAGAAAAGTACACTAAACTTGTAACATGCTTTGATTAAAGAAGTAAAATTAATTTTATTACTGAAGTTATGTAGCATTTTCTGCATATGCTTCAGCACTTGTTTTATAGTAAACACAAGTCATCATTTTTCAGTTTAGATAAATACTACCTTTAGGATACTTATTCCACTGTATTTTAAAATTACATTGTAATTTTGTATTTATGTAGTTCACATGGGTAAAGTTTATTTGTCCACTGCTTTTCAGATGCTGTGTTCTAACTTTAGTGTGTTTCATAGCTGATTTGTCTACACTCCATACAATAGGGAAGCTTTTATTATATCAGTAGTAAATAGGGGTAGAATATGAAAAGTAGTTATAGAAATTTTTCTGTGTCAGAAGCAGAGGCATGGTGAAGAAAAATAGGTTCAATAACTAGTAAATCTGAAATTTCAGTTCTAACTCTTTTTGTGAACTGGTAGGAGTGTTATTAATCCAACTGTAAATGCTAGTGGTAAAATCAGCATATAACCTTACTGAAAGTATTTACTTATTTTTCTCTTGTTTAAAACTGTAAAAATTCTTTTGAAAGTTATTTTTTTGGTTAATATACAATTATTGTACATGAAATTCAGTTTTTTTAAGAGTTGTGTTTTCTCCTTGATCTGACATTGTTTTTTTCGTTTGCAGTTACATTCAGAAAAAAATAATAATTTTATGTCCAATAAATCTTGATTATGTTAATCTGAAGTTATGGATATATTTTAGTTATTTATGTGCACACCTGAAGTTATAGACATATTTCAGTTAGTTATTTATGTTCAGACAATCCAGATTTGCAGGGTGTTTAAAAAATCATGTTATCTTTTAAAATTAAAATCAGATTTTTGTAATTTTTTCTCATTAACTTATTAATCAGTTACCATGCATAGAAGGTTTGCAAAGTAATTAAACCTCTAATTAGGTGATATTAAGGGCACAATGCATATCTTTAAGCATGAACTAATATAATAATATAAATAATATATTGAAGAAGCTCTGCAACAAGAATTAAACCTCAAATACAAAGAAGTAGCTTAGCACAATTGACAGAGCTTAAAATTTGAAGGACCTAAAGAAGCCATATATGAGTATGTGATTTTCATTTGTTGGACTAACAATACCAATCAACTTTAAATCACACATTAGTAGCAACTACTGAGCAGCTGGTGGTAATATTCCTTCTTCAGTTTACTAGAAATTATATCACTACTTCTCAAGGACTATTTTTAAAGCTGTTTATTTGAAAAGTGGAAGGAGGAGAGGAGTAAAAAAAGAGGAAAGCATTACTACCCACAGGAAATAACTGTGCTTGTTATTACATTACATAACAGAGTGAATAGTGACTCAGAGTAAATTATTAAGACAATGTATAAATTATAAGACATTAAACATCAGTTTTAATCAAAATGTTTTTTATATTTGCCAAATAATATTTAATAACTGACTTGTTCAAAGTATTTTAAACAGTTTTATTTCTTTAAAAATTTTAAAATGCTCTTTAAAAAGTTGATCTTAATCTTTGATTTCAACATATTTTCCCTCAATTAAAATATTGGAGAATATCTGATTTTAATCAATTACTTTTTTTTTTAATCTGCTGTGTGGTAAAATCGTTGACACCTGTTTTATTGCAAAAATTAGAAAGAAAAGTATGTAAAAACAAAGCTCAGTAAGACATAACCTTGTAGACTGCAAAATTTACTAATTTGCTCAGCCCTTGATCCTGAGATGTGCAGATTCTACTGTATTTTATTGGTTTGCATTGGCATTATATAAAATTAAAATGTCATTAATGAAAGTTGATTTCTGATACAATATCAGTTTCAGTTATTATCCATAAAAGCAGTAGTTCTCATGTGCAGTGTTGTAAGCATAAAAGCACTGGATATTGAGTCTGTGCAACTCGACAGGAAACCATGTGCAAAGAATTCTTAGGTGTTGAAGCACATGTGAATTTTGATTTAGTTGGAAAAATTGGATAATGTATAGCAATGCCTAAAACTGAAGATGGTTGTGACCTTTTGATATGCTTGGGAGAGCATAAAATAAAATTATATTGATTTATTGTTTCAAGAAAATATCTTTAGATGAATGTATTCATAACTTTTCTGTTGATATATTTTTTGCTTTTTTTTTTTTTTTGTTTATTTCTTTTAAATGCATTAAATATGTATATACTTTTTTTTTTAGGCATGTCTTGATCGTACTGTGCTCATGAACTTTGTTCAACTACGTGCAGATTATAAAACTGCAAAGCTTGTTAATCAATTTCGATAGTTTTATTTATGAAAGAAGAGCTCTGTAATTATTAAAACTATCACTTTGTTATAGCTTCATATTGTAAATTATATTTGCTAATAAATTATTTCAAATCAGTTTTAAGTTTTTGTCGAGATGTGTCGTCATTCAGAATATAGTTGTGAAACACATTTAAATTTTATCTGCATTGTGTTTATGTTTCATGGAAAATGAATTTTAAAATGCATTGTTTCCTTATAAATAAATTTTCGTAGAAACAACTTTTATATTAGTTATAGAAAATGCTAGTTTTTATTTTAACATTTTTAGAAATATGCTTTATATATATTTACATGTTAGGGCTGCCCAACTTTTTTTGTGAGTATGAGTGGTTTTCATTTCTATGGATAACATCGCAATGTGCAAGGTCACAAAATATATAAAATGTTAAATTAAAAATGCAATAGATGATCAACTTAGACCCACTCAAAACATTCCATGAATGACCAATGACTCGTAATCAGTGAGTTAGCCTTTTTCAAACATAAGCATTAAAATTAATTTTTGCTGTATGTTGATGGAAGATTCAAACTTCGAATAAAATTATGGAAGTAGAAGATAAGCTTATATGTACACATACCACCTTCAAGACAAAATTAGTAAAAAATTTAAAAAAAAAAAAAAAAAAAAAGTTGGAAAATACAAATTTGAACAAGTATAACATTAAAATTTGCAATCATGAATTTCAGTATTAAAATATTACACAAACATGATATAAAATAATCCTTTAGCCATAATTTTTAAAAATTTTTATATTTAATACTTTAATCATTTAGCTTTAAGTTACACCGTGGCATTAATTCATCCAGATACCAGTTTGTTAGGTTTGTTATAGTTATTTATTTCATAATATATATATATATATATATATATAACTAATTAAAGTAAAAGAACAAACGATAAAAGACCTATGTGTTCAAAAACTTTGCACATTGAGCTTCAAAATATATATATATATATTATATAATTTATATACAGTCAAAAGTCGTTAATTCGGACACCCATAATCCGGAATGATCTATAATCCGGACCTCAAAGCGTTTACAGGCTTTGACAGGCGTTTACGAGAGCGCGTAAGACCCTTACGGCTGCGAATATGTTTGTGCGCATGCGCGTTTAATGTGTAATGGAGTTATACGCTAAGCTAAAGTTATCTAATTCAGTTAATGTTGCAGATTGCATTGTTCCTTAATCTTCGAATTGGATCCGGCTTATTATTTTTTGCAGACTGTTAGAGCAATTTTATAAAAGTAAGCTTGAACTTTCGATTATGTCAAATAGAATTTCCGATATATATTTACTACAAAGCGAAAGTATGTTTTGAAATCCGAAATCTGTTTATCAATTTCACGCTGCTCTGCGGCAGAGAGGGGAGGCAGAAACGTCATTATTGGATTATGATAGATTAGAAAGATTATGTCAAATAGAATTTCCGATATATATTTACTAACATGTAATTTGTATCTACAAAGCGAAAGTATGTTTTGAAATCCGAAATCTGTTTATCAATTTCACGCCGCGGATTGGAAGTTGATCTGTTAGCACTATCCTTATCTTCAGGGCAGATGTTTTTATTTTATTTGGTTTATAATTCCGTATTAAGTGTAGTATTTAATCTCGATGTACTCCGTCTTTGATATGATTTAAATCAAGTTCCTCGTCATTATAATTCGCTTCCGATAGTGAAGAAAGTGACCCAGAGGTTATTGAAAACGAAAACATTTCGATTGACAAATTAGTCGGTATTCTCGACAAGCGGAACTTTGTAACTAAACAAGAAATTATGTCTGTTTAATAGAATTAAAGAGAAAGTATTATCACATGAAACGAAGCAACTTACATTGAAGGAAATGTTTAATAAAGTAAACAAATAAATATTAAGCTTTTTCTTTTTGTAAATTTTGATACCCTTTAGATCATAATTGTTCTTTATTTCATAAATTACGGTTTCATATTTTTAATTTTGTAATTTCTGCATGCCATCCTACCAGATTTAAACTGATGATCTATAATCCGGAAAAATCGATAATCCGGAATCGCCGAAGTCCCGACGAGTCCGGATTAAGGACTTTTGACTGTATTATATGTATATATATATATATATATATATATGTATTATATGTTTATATATATATATTATTATATAATATATATTATATGTATATATATATATATATATATATATATGTTATATATATATATATATATATATATATATATATATATATATATGTGTGTGTATGTGTGATGAAGATTTGCTTCATTGCATATAATTTGATGTTAGATGAATGCTTGACTAGGGAAGACACAATTTATTTTGTAATCATGCATGGATTGAATTTAGAAGATCACTGAAATATCAGTTACATAGTAGAAGATGATGAGATCTTTTGAAGAATTTCAAAATCACTTGATAATCCAAATATATCTTTATCACTTGTTGATTATTCTATTCAAATGCATGTTATGATATAACATATCTTATTACATAGCACAGCAGAATGGAGATAATCTGCTTCCCCCAGTTTTAATTATGATGCATTACGTTTTTAATAATGAATAGGAGCAGTCAAGCAAGAGATGTTCTTTAGCTAGCAAGCATAGGCAACAAAAGAGAGGGCATAACAGTTGCAGTAGTACTTATAATCTCACAGCACTTTGCTTAAATGCTGCAGAATGATTGGGTAATCAAATATTTTACAAAATCAAACATTTTAAACGTTATAAAATCGAACATTTTAAGCAGCGAGTATTCCCTGCAGTCAGTATTGACTGCAGGGGATATGTAGATGCCTTTAATTGAAAATTATAAATCTAAAGGTATATTCGTGTCTGTTACTATTAAGCTTAATTTGTTAATAAATTTGTATCATATTTTTATAGCGTACACACACAAATATACGAATTTTTAAACAAGATAACCTACAAAACATCACATCTTTCTCTAACAATGATCAAAATGTGTAATTAAAATATATTACTTTTGTAGCAATATAATCTAGTCATACTGAATATAGTGTGTGGATAAGATTTCTACCAATCTGTTTATGTAATTACTTTGATTGCCTTAATCATAGCAGCTTTTATGATTTTATCATACAGAATTCTTTACACTGCTATTTTCATTATGGATCAAAGAAAAAAATTTCATAATGTTAGATAACATGAAATGCTTTTCGATATTTAATATTTGTGTAACTGCAATGGATTTGTGAGATGGAATGATGTTCTATAGCAAATTTTGCGGATCTTGGTATTTTGGCAAAATTCTAATAGTTTGCCACAAGGCTCAATGACACAAAATTAGTATTCTTTAGTAATAGTTTCATCTTTTGAAACATTCATAATAAATCACCTAATAACTAACTCATCGTTTCTTCACTGAATCACCTGTTGAATCACTTTATATGTTCTGTCTGTGTTACTAGAAATTATGCTTTTCCTCTCATCCTTCCTTCGTAATGCTGTAATTTGTTTTTATACATATAAGTGCTAAGTCATGTTTGAAGCTGATGCCAATTTAATGTTATCATTTGTTTCAAATATAATAAGAAAATGCCTTTATAAAAAGCTTTCCTTTGTTTACATTGCAGTGGGAAAATTATGCATATTCAAAGACTGTGGAATTATAAAGCCATGTAAATTAATAAATATTTATGTAACTTTTTTATTTTATTTTATTTATTTATTTTTACGAACATTTGTGAACAACACCTTGTAGGTTTCTAAAATATATTTATTACCGTAATGATAGTACATTTCATGTCAGTGTGACAATTTAGTCTATGACTTGCATATTCTGTAACGTAAAGTGATTTTTCATCTTTTCAGGAAATATTTATAATTTGTTTTTCCTTAAATGTGAAAAGCAAATCTAAGTGCTTGAACATCTTGCTTTAAATTTTGAATGACACAACTAATTTTTATTTCTTTTTAGAGAGACTTTGTATACATCAAAATATGCACATTTCATGCACACAGTCTAATTACATTAGCCTATCTTCAAGTAATGTAGGCTAATATAATTAGTATAATGCTTATCGAATTAATGAATAATAAAATAAAATTTAAGTACCTAGCTTGCTTTTAAACATTTCAAGAATAAAATACATTCCAGTAGAAGGTCAAGTATAATGTCATGCTGAGCATTAATTGTTATGCAGATGTAAAAAATAAGAGATTTTATTCATGTAACATGCAATATGATAAATAAATATTGAAACTATAATTATTTTTGTTGCACTGAAAATAAAAAACGTATACTGATTTATATTAAAATACAATCTTCCTGCATTGATGTAAGCTTTGACATGATCAGGTAACAAAAGGAAAAATTTGTAGAGTTTGTTTTCAGGACAACTTTAAGAGTGGGTATCACAATTGTTTAAATTTTTTAGTGTAAAAAAGGGGAGAAATGGTTCTTTTGAGATAGAGTTTTAGTTTTTTGAAGAGAACATAGTCACAACAGAACAAATCTGGAAAATAAGGATTTGGTGTTGTGTATATATTTGATTCAAGATAAAAAATTGCAGATATCACAATTGTTTAGATTTTTTAGTGTAAAGAAGAGGGAAAAATGGTTCTTTTAAGAAAGACTTTTTCTTAAAAGAAAAAGAAAAAAAAAAAAAAAAAAAAAAAAACTTCAAAAGTTTTTTTGAAGAGAAGGTAGTCACAAGTGAACAAATCTGGAAGACAAGTGTGTGGCATAGTATACATATTCAATTCAAGACCAAAAATCACTGGATGTGCAATGGTCCATGTAAAGATGCATTATGGTACAGAGAACATGTTTAAAGTTTAAAGTATAAGTAGTTTTCAAACTTAATGGTAGGAGATGCAGCATTGAAAATTTCCTGCTTAATTAAGGGCTTATCTGGTAGGCAAGTGATAAATAATTTTTAAAAAGCAGGGCAATTTTGATTAGTCATATATATGGGACTTTTTTAAAAAATAGTCTTACGTTGCTAACTCACAGTATAGATGAGGACATAATATCATAAAAAATCTGTATTGTTTATCATATTATAACAAGTGACAGAATTATTTTTCAGTGATCAAAAGAAGGTATATAACCTTACTTTCATTACTAGTATATACTTTTAGAAATGTGAAAGCTCCTTTCTGTGTGGTGCTTTTGTATTTAGAAAATCCATGATTTTAATGCTAAATTAAAGTGTCTGTTTCTTGTTTAACATATCTTTTTATGGTCTCATTCTTTATAACAAGTACTAAATGTGTATATATCGCATGAAAGTTAAACCTTCTAGGTGAGTTTGCAAATTCTTAAAAAGCTATTGTCAACTAACTAAACATTGCTTAATAAATTTCTGTATCACAAATATATTGATGCTTAATTAAAATACACTTTTTTCCTTGGTATATTTCTACCCCTGTAGGAAGCATAGTAGTTATAATACTAATTTGTGTACTTCTGGGTTTTTTTTTTTTTTTTTTTATTTACATTTTTAGTTATTTAGGCTTGAGAATGCACCTCTGCCCTCCTTATTTATTTATTTATTTATTTGACTCTCCATCGCACTCTTGTTTGGTCAAGAATTTGCATTTGGTGGTTTGGGAGGGATTGAATCGGTTTTCCATCCAATACGGAAGTTTTCACGATCCAGCCGACACCTTGAACTTAGAGATGGGATCTTTTGCTGATACTATAGATTTGGTGTCAGTTTGAGATCTTATCTATTTATTACTTACCTTTTACGGGAGTTACCATTTAAATCCTTTGATTTAAATGATCAAATGGCGGAAGAGTAATGAGCAATTTTGCCTAAACTCCTTTCCTTCTTTTCATAAGAAGGAAGCGCCCCTATTGTTATGTTATGTTATGTTAGTTATTTAAAAATTATATGTGTCTTGTGCACTTAATAAGTGTAATTTTTATGATCTCAAAAGTTGCAATAATAAAGTGTTTGAATCCATCTTTGAATGCTTGATTAGACTGCATTATTTCTCTTATAGTATTTTATGTCAATATAATTATTTTTAAGCAATTTTTGATACAGTTAAAGGGAGTAAATTAAAAAAATTTAAACATATATTTTAAATAAAATGTCTTTAATTATGAATTAATCTTCTTTGAATAGCACAAATTTTAGGACATTTATGAAGTGATGTACTTAAATGTCATTAATTATTTCAATTATTTCAATTTGCATTAAAAAATTAAAATTTATATTTTAAATAAAAAGTCATTAATTATGAATTAATCTTTTAATAGCATGATTTTTTACAGAAAGTTATGGAAGCGATCATTTAAATGGCATTCATTACCTTCATTTACTTGATTTGCTCTCTAAATTATTTTATTTGCATAACCTTTAAGCAGTATTAATTATACATTTAGTGAAATAAGCACAGGCTTAGGGCATCAAAGAAAAGGGGCATGAAAAGCTCTTAGGAACTTAGAAAAGGGGACTCCATAAAAGTTTCCCATTATCCGTTTTGCCATGGAATGTATGGTGCAGCTAGCTAAACCCAGACCAAAAAAGAAGGATTGGGGAGAAAACTGGCATAAATGTATGTGTGGGCATCAAAGTCTTTTAAATGCTTAGGATCTCTAAAAGACTTGATGTACACCTGCCTTTAGATCATGAAAATGTTTTGTAAATAAACAGAAAAATAAGAAAGTAGAACATTTTAAGCAGCGAGTATTCAAAATGAAAACCTCACAGTGAGATCAAAGTAATTTATCATTTTAATTAAATATTCAATCCATTGCCCTTTTGTGTACAATTAATCAATCTTTAAATACATGGATTTTATATAATATAGAAAGGGGGAGTGTCTTCTTATTATTTACAGCAAATATTTTTAAGAGGAAAATGACTTTTGATGATATTGAAGAATGATATTTCTATTGATGGATCTGAATTTAACAAATGCATGATTTTTATGGAGGAATTTTATGTGAACTTTTCTCTCTGTTGGAGCATTTACAGTGTACTTTGATTGTGAAGTTGAGATTTTTCATATTGCCCGTCAGCAGGTCTTCAGAAACAGGAACTATTTGAGAATGCAGAACTAATGTAATGACATTCATGAATACAGAATAATTTTTTGAGCTATAAAGCTATCAGTAATAAAGTGAGTTTTAAACAAATATGGCCAGAGTCGTAGATAAGGTTTTCAGCGCCTGGGGACAGCTTAAGATTTTGCACCTACTCCTGTATGTTAAGAATAGAAAATATTTAATTCTAAAATTTCATGCCCATCATTGGTTGAGCAATAAAGTTGCTGAATACTGGTAGTTTAGTCGGAGGTTCGAATTCTGTGAATGGGTTGGCTACATGGACGTTTTCATGGGTTTCGTCATGTGTGACGTGTATACAAGCCTGTTTCCGATAGAAAGTCCTCCACGAAAGCATCCCTTCCCTGCACAGATAGTCCTCGAGGCTTTGCCACATAAACCAAACATCTAAAATTTTGTAACATCAGTTTGGCTCCCCCTGGATGCTGCACCCAGGGACAGATGTTTGCCCTTCCCCCCCCTCTAGCTATGCCCATGAATATGGCCTTAAATTAAATTAAAAATTAGTTCAACTAACTAAAAAGTTCATTTATTCATTTGAGAAAAGTGGGTTGATTAGAAGTTCCAGTGAAACCATTGGAAAATTCTAAAAGGCAGAAAAATTCCTGATGTTGACTAGGAATGACTGTTTACTTATAAATTTAGATCTAAACTTATTGTCCTGGAATACAATATATGATAGCTTATCACTTTCATAAGTAGTCTGTAATATTATTTCGGAAATATTGAGAGGCTAGGAACTAGCGACTTTTAATCAAAATATCTGACACTTGGATTAATAGATAAGAAATACAAAAATAAAAATAATGAATTAATTTTTTTTTTTTTTTTGTGAAAAGTTAAATCATTCAGTAGAAGATACTCTTCCATATTTTAAATAATATGCAGATAAAAGATATGTGTTTGATTAAATACATCATTTAGAAGCTTTTAATACATTAGTAGGGGACTTTTAGCAAATTTCTATCTGTTTGGCATATTTTTGCTGCTAACTAAAAGATGAAATGGATGAGAAAGGACATGAAATGACATATTACTATGATATGTTATTACAGGATGTGCTTATAACATTCTCTTTTTTTTAATAAAAATTTATGTGATTTTCATATGAAAAATAATATATTTTATATACACAATATTGACATGTAGACATACAGATAATATAGACAATATCGATTTTTGTTTAGTCAAATTAATGTAATTTATTTGTAACATTTGACTGTTATTGATAAAAATTTGTAACATGTGCATATTCTTTTTTTAAAAATAAATCTTAACTTATTTTAAATAAATATAGTAAATCTACAAAATTATTTAGGTGAAAATATACCTTTAACTATATGTATCAAAGATTTGCATTCAGTTTTGTTGTGAAAAAGTAACCCTTTGTCATAAGAAGCACATTTGTGAAATTTGCATTTTACTTGGAACTACTTGAACATGCTATTAATGTTCGCATCATGGTTATATCTTGATGCAACAGATTTACTGATTTAAAATACGTAAAAAATGAAGCAATAGTATATTGAAAAACGGATTATGTTGTCTGGCTCTATTTGTCCAATGTAGCTATGTATCAAGATGTCAATGAACAAATGAAAGTGATTGAAAGGAAATTTTAAAAGATTTAGATGTTACCTTTTAAGCTATTTAATGTTTAAATTTATCTTCATAAGAGACGTATGTAGTATCTCTTCAAATTTATGGTGATAGTCTAAAAATATGAGCAATATTTATAATGCTTGCGATTGTGACGTTGAATAAAAAAAGTTATTGTAGTTTCTAACTTAATTTATTTACTGACTTTATAATATAAATGAATTATATCCCAACTGAGGCTAAGCAACGATTAACATTATACACTTTTGCTACTAAAATGTAGTAATCATTGTTTGTTTTTGTCGGCAATGGAGTTAAAAGGTCATGCGCAAGGACGAGCATGATGGGTATTTTGTACCACGTGACGTTTAACCAATCGCTTAGCAGGAAAATTTTATCCAGACTTGTGTGTTGTTGGTGCTGTGTTGTGTGAAGGAGTGTGATATGAGTGTAATTGTCATGTAAGATATTCGAGATTTAAAATAGTGTTTTATGTTTGAATTTACCTGAAAACCTCATTTTCGTGTTGTCTTGTGATAACAGTTTGTCACTGGCAATGGTAAGTGCTTTTAGATTTAACATCAGTAAAATTTAAATAACATCGTTAGTTGTCATAATAAGGTCAGCTTTCAGATGTGAGTTTTAGAGTGACGCTCGATTAAAACTTCAATGATACTTGCTATATTTAATGTAAATTTTCCATTTTAATGTCGAGATCATTTAGATATTTGTTTTTAGTTACTGTTCTCTCTTTATATTGTTATTCACTCAGTTTTAATATCGTGATTTATTTAGTCTTTTCTCGATCTGCCAGTTTTTCGTTCTGACGTATTGTTTTAAATTTCGAGATCTGAATTAAAAGAAAAAAACAAAAAACTTTTGCCCGTGTTGTTGTTAGGACTCAGCTACATATATCCAGTTTGAAATAATAGCTGATTTCGCTTCAAATGTGTATATGTTAAACTACATACATGCATTATTTAACTGAATATTTTTTATGTATACTAAAATATTTCATTTATGAGATCCTAATCAATTACAGTTTGTTGCTTCACTCCTTTTATTTCCTTACCTAGAAATTTCAGCTACTTAAGCTGTCAAATACTGTAGAGCATTATCTCGATGATCATTCAGTTAGACATCTGTAGTGGAGAAAATAAACGTTCAATGGCGGCGTCCATACCTGTCTAGGAAGTAGCGTGTTTCGACCACGAACTGCTATTTTAGAACGACATTTAGTTTACTTTTCTTGATATGAGAGATTAAATTCAGTTTCGATTTTATAACTGATAGAATATGCCTAACTTTAAGTATGGTAGTATTGTCAGTGTTGAAAATTGAGAAGTTACTGGCCATTGCCAAATATGTTGGTGCATCAAATTCAGCTGCTGTCAACATCATCAGAATCATACCACAGTATTGTTTTAATTTAATTTTTGGTGGGCTGTAATACAATTAACAGTTAACAAAGAATTTAGAAACATCATTTTTTTCTCAGCTGTTATAGCTGCATCTGTTTATTTCTAAAAAATTATCAGTTTTTCGACAACTAAACTGTTTTAATTTTTATCAAGTTATTCAAGTGCTGTCTACAAATTAGAATTTCATATTATCTTAAAAAATACTGAGTAAAAGAAATGTAACTATAATTTTGAGTGCATTTTTTTCTTGATGATAATATGCTTTACCCCATACACATTTAAAATTTCAAACGTGATTTTGTAGTTATATTTATTTATGAATTGAGATACTGTTTTTTCATTATCATAAAATACATCCTGTATCATTAGTAATGCTGTTTTATACTTTGTGTAGTCTTAACTTTTAGAATGCAACAGTATGCTTTGTTTTCTTAAATAACATATTTAATATATATTATTAAAAAATTCCATTGCTTTTCATATACATATGAATTTGTTAATTTTTAAGTGTGTATGGAAATTTGCGAATAAATATTTTTGATCTTATAAGTTATGCATTGAAAACATCATTGATAAAATTTACTTGATTCATATTTTACATGAAATTACATTTATGCATTCAGGAACTTGTTAATGAAATTTAATTCTTATTTAGTAATTATAAGAGTCTGAAGGATTATTACTTGTCCATATACAGAATGTATTTTCAGATTGCATCATGCATGAGTAACATGGCAGTTTATTTAAAACTTAAGAATTTTTTTTATCATTAATGTTTGTTATAGGCTGCTGATGAGCCACCATATTTAACAGTAGGCACTGATGTTAGTGCTAAATATAAAGGAGCATTCTGCGAAGCTAAAATCAAGAAAGTAAATCGGGTTGTAAAATGCAAGGTAAATAATTGTTCATTTTTTTAAATGGAGTGGTAAATAATTTTATATGTTTATGTTTGAAGCAAAATTATTCTTATCAAATAAGGCAAATGATTAATTAATAATAGACATAAAACAAAAAGGGTGTGATAGTGATTTAAAAAAATTTCATGCGAAAAACAAAATATAGTTTTCTTTTATCAGCATTTAATGAGATATGATGAATCAATCATATAGTTGAAATGAATGCTGATGTGTAGAAGGAAGTTAGTAAGATTTTAAATGACATTTACAAGGGCTAATTTGTTAGGAAAACATATGTTTCAAGGTACATTATAATCTGAATAAAGTCAAAAATAAAGAATTTTTTCAAATGGCTTGAAAAAGAAATTGCTATGTAGGGATAATATAAATGGTAAATTTGAAAATTTATTGTAATGTAGAAAATTAAATAAGAGTACCCATATGTGTGGGAGAGAATTATGATTTTTGCTTTAAAAATTAAAATTTATCTTAGTTCCTATATTTTGTTTTGTGGTAATTTATTTTGTATTAAAAGTCTTAAAAAGTTTCCTATAGTACTAGTTTGTTTTTCATTGAAGAATGAAAAAAACTGTATGACTAAATCAATAGTGTGTAAAGCTTTAATATTATGGGATACTTCATTGTAATTTTGGTTTCCTCAACTTGCGTGTTATTTCAATTGATTAATTTGTAGTTTTTAGGATTCGATTGATTTGCAGCTGATATAGTTGAAAATGCATGATTGAGGTACTTTTTCGTTGAGACTGAGAATTTTTTGTTTGAATAATGTGTAATGGTAAAAATTCTCAGAAATATTTGCAGAACAGTTCGCACAAATTATATGTGAGAATTTTTATTAAATTTTTTTTGGAGGGCATTGGATCTTTTATAAATACTATATAAACCTACATATGTGTTTAAAATAAGATTGACTATAAATAAGGTTTCTCAATATGTAATTTTTTCTTTCCTGGAATTTCTCGTAAATTTATGGGAAATTTTGTTGTTTCCCCAATAATGGTTTTATAAATTTAGAAACTAGACTGCATGTTTTTATAGACTTAAGCTTCATGGACGAAGAGTAGGAAGGCTGCTTGCCAAAATTGTAGTTGTTAGCTGCAAAGTGTTTCCTGTGTGCACCACGTGAAGGTAGGTCTATGTCGCACCCCATATACTGTGGATGGAAGATCCCTACTGGAAGGACTACGTAGTTGAATGCTGAATATATGCGGTCAAGTCATATATTACAAAACGCCCTAAACACAGGGGAACTGAAAAAGAGGAAACTGTCCCCCCCTCCGAAGTCTTGGGAAAATGCGGGGGTCGTTGAAACATTTAACTTCTCCGCATTCAGTTTTATACAGAGTAAAATGAGAAAATAAACTTCGAATGAATGCAATTTTGTTCCATGAAAATGGATTATTGAATTATAAACTGAAAGGCAAATAACATTTTTTTTAAAGCCATATGAGTAGAAAGACAGATATTTGTTACATGAATGAATCTGTAGTGCAAATATTGAGTAGTGTACATATTTGCATTTCGAATGCCTTGTTACATGTTTACGAAGTATCTCAGTATCTGAGAAAATAGTCTTAACCCAAATGGCTTTCAACCTTTCCACATCTAAGGACTGTTTAATTACATTGTGGTCGCTGCTTTTTGGTTAATTTTTTAATGCTGTGTAAACATTAAATTGTTTTTAATTTGAGACTTATGAATAAAATAACACAAACTAGACATCAGAAAATTCATCAGAAGAAAATTAATAATACTGAAAAATACATTATTGATGCACTTTTGATTTTGCATGTAGTAGCTAATATGGAATCCTTAAATTATAATCTATCTATCTATAGGTATATATAAATGGAACAAAATATAGAACAAGATATAAATATATAAAAAAAAAATCTTTAATATACAGTGTTAATTAATGCAAATACATTTCTCAATATAAATTTCATCAATATAAATGGTTAGATTTCGAAGCAGTTAGAAGTTTTAAGTTGCATATATACATATACTGTATAAAGTATATAATATATATACATATAATGTATAAAGTATATAATATGTATATAATATATGAAGTATATAATTTTTGAAAACGTCTTTAACCTTTTGGAGCAGCAGCTCTTGGTAACTTTTAGGCGAGCTTTCTACAATTTTATTTTTTACTTATTTTGCAGCATATTGCGCAAGATGTTTTCTTGACCAAAATTGTTATTACTGCTTTGCTTGATAAAATATATATACATATAATGTATAAGTAAATATATTTAATCAATCATACACATATATGTATACAATATATTATATGTACCATTTTATAAGTGTACATAAAATGTAGCAGTTTTGCAAGCTACTCATATATATATTGTTTGGTTTCCTTTGTTAGATTATAGCAAAGCACTCGATAGCTAATTGCCTAAGGGTATGACTGCCTCTGTATAGGACTTTGTAAGGAAAACTGACTCGTATACATATTACACATGGGGAAAACCATGAAAACGCCATTACAGCCATCCTGTTCACAGGGATTTGAACACCAAATCAACCTACCAGAGTTCAACGACTTTACCACTCAGCCAAAATTGAGCCACATGCATCCACATTAAATTATTCAATTATATTTACATGTTGTTTATAAAGTGTAATTCAGTGCAATTTAATCATAAAGAGTTATACAGTACAAAGTCTGAGATCCGGACTCGTTGGGAATTCCGGATTTGTGATTTTTCCGGATGTTAGATCATCAGTTTAAATCTAGTAAGATGGCATGTAGAAATTATAAAATTAAAAGTATGAAATAGTGATTTATGAAATAATGAAGCATTTATGATCTAAAGAGTATTAAAATTGGTTGATCTTTGGATTATGGTAACTTTGCGATTTTTTGGCAAAAATTTGGCAACTAACTCTGCTACAGCAACCCTCTATTTTTTTTCGCCGCCATTTTGTCTTCACGAAGTAAAAACATATTTCTTTCTTTTTATTCACTCAACACTTTTTCCAACAATCTCCTAGCCGAATTACACTTATGCTAGAAATTTTATGGAACAAAACTGCTTAATCATGACAAATATTAACTGCAAAATTGGGAAAAAGTGTGCAGAATCGCAAACTCCTTGCCGCGTTTTTCAAAACCGCACATACACAGTAACCATGTACATGTCGACTTATTTTTACTTTAAAAAAACATCCCAGAATTGCACAAAAATGGCATTGCGCACACTCTTGACTTTATCCATCTAAACTGCTATTTTCTCATAAATTACAAAAATTTGCACGAAAATGCAGGAAAATTTTTTGAATCTTTAAACTCGGTAAAAAGCACATATATGAAATTACCTGATCGCGAAAACGTATATATACTTTATCCAAATATGAACATTTCCATGTATAATATAAATAAAATATCCAAAATCTTTTACCTCTAAATTATCTATTATAAACGTCACCAACAAATTCCTAACAAAACATTAAAAATGGTTACAAATACTTACTGTCAAATATTTAAATTATTTCCATGCACGTTTACATCCACTCAAACGTATACCAAATTGCTACAAACATATAATTCACAAAACTATCATTTAATTAAAATATAATTAAACCATGTACACGTCGACTTATTTTTACTTAAAAAACATCCCAGAATTGCACAAAAATGGCATTGCGCACACTCTTCACTATATCCATGTACACTGCTTTTTTTCTCATAAATTAGAAAAATTTCACGAAAATGCATGAAAATTTTGTGAATCTTTAAATTCGGTAAAAAGGACATACATGAAATTACCTGATTGCGAAAAAGTATATACCCTTTCCAAAGATGAACATTTGCACGTATAAAAGAAATAAAATACCCAAAAACTTTTACCTCTAAATTATCTATTATAAACGTCACCAACGAATCTATAGCAAAACATTAAAAATGGTTACAAATACTTAGTCTCAAAAGTTTAAATTATTTCCATGCATGTTTATTTCCACTGAAACATATACCGAATTACTACAAACTTATAATTCACAAAATAACTATCATTTAATTAAAATATAATTAAACCATGTACACGTCGACTTATTTTTACTTAAAAAAACATCCCAGAATTGCACAAAAATGGCATTGTGCACACTCTTCACTATATCCATGTACACTGCTTTTTTCTCATAAATTAGAAAAATTTCACGAAAATGCAGGAAAATACTCAACGTATTCCAAAATACTACAAACATATAACTCACAAAATCACGATCATTAAATTAAAATATAATTAAATTAAAAAAAACTATTTAAAATATAAATAAGCACATACATTAAATTAATAAAAATTAGATTACAATCCTAATTACTTTAAACTAAATCATTGCTAATAACAATTTTCCATTATAGCATATTAATTTATTTACTCCTTACATTTAGAACAATGCATAAAAATAATATCATCAAATGATTAAAAATACTAACTTACCTAATCTTCTTCAGAATCTTCATTACGTGGCACGCACACTTCCCTACAGTAAGAGTTCCAATCGGCTGCAGTACTACTGCTAATTTCTTTCACTTTACATAGCGCCATGCAATCCGAAAATTAATCAACACTATTTCACACAACACACAATGAAGCTTAATACAAAATAATATATTACTATCGATATTTTTCCAAATTTTACCCCCTTTTCCGATTAAAGAACTGTAATTCGTCCATTAATGTCACATGACATATCTCATGATCTCTCATTTCCCTCTCACAAAATAATGCGTAATCGGAACTGAGTACTTCTCACATTCTTACCGTAGTCCTAGGTAGTAACCTTTATCGCCTCAAATGTCGCCAAACTACCTGTTACCGTATTCCAAAGATCAGCCTTAAAATTTACAAAAAAAGTTTAATATTTATTTGTTTACTTTATTAAACATTTCTTTCAATGTAAGTTTTTTAAGTTACTTTGTTTTTTATGCTAATATTTTCTCTTTAATTCAACAGACA